ACCCTTAACTATAACATTGGCCACGTCCAGTGCACGACCTTGTAAGAACTTTATCTAATAATACGTTCCTGGTGAAATTTTGGGATATTAATCTCGGCTATTATCGTACAACCCAAAGCTAGTCTACATTTTACCATACACAATATGCTTCTATATGCCTGGAATTGCCAAGGAATAGGAAGCATTCTCACAAGGAAAAGTCTGAGAAAGCTTTACAATGTATCAGAGTCCTTTCTATTTCTCTCTGAAACAATGACAACTAAGGAAAATTCGACGAAATACCTAAAAAAGTTAGGTATTTCCTCTGTTCATGCCGTAGATTCTATAGGGCTCTCTGGTGGTCTTGCTTTCGCATGGCCAGGAGTACTCTCGGTCTCTGTAATTGGCTCAACTCAATTTTTCATTGCCATTGCTATTAATAATAGTAACGGTTCTCTTTATGGACGTTCTACTAATATAGTACTAATTGGGGTCTATTTAAGTTATGAGATTGCAACTCGTACAAATCAACTTCAGATCCTAATGGGATTCTGTCAGCGTTTGTCCGATCCTTACTTGATAATTGGCGACTTCAACTGTACTCTTTCACCCATAGAAAAAAGGGGAGGGGCTACTTGGAAAATGGTAAAGGTGAGACCACTACAAGATTTTATGATAGAACTTGGATTGGTAGATATTGGTTACTCAGGCTCCCCGTTCACTTGGACCAATCGTGGGAGAAACGGAGTTCTTATCGAACAACGGTTAGATCGAGCTCTAGTTTCTACAGATTGGGTTGCCCTTTGGCCATTAACTAATGTTCGACATCTTTTAGATCTCGGCTCTGATCATTGCATCATTGCTTTCTCTATTGAAGATAATCTCATACAAGGACGTCGTATTTTCTATTTTGATAGTCGATGGTTAGGCAACCCGGAAGCTCTATTATTACTAAAATATGTGTGGAATCAAAATAGTATGGGATCCCTACAATTTCAGTTGTACAATCACCTGCGATGCGCCAGACATATGTTTGTTCATTGGAGGAAAGGAGGTACATCGAACTCGGCTAGAAACATTCGCGACCTAGAAGTGGCATTGAATTTAGCCAGAGAGGCCATAACCATTAATTGGAACCTAATAAGGGAATTTGAATCTCGACTGTCAGTCGAATATGTGAAGGAAGAGGTTTACTGGCGTCAAAGGTCTAGAGTTCGTTGGCTTCAAGAAGGAGATAAAAATACTCCCTACTTCCATATGGTAGCCAACTCTCGACGTAAAGCTAATAATATAAAAGGATTAGAGGATGATAATGGAGTCTGGCATACCGTTGAACAAGCCAAAGGTGAAATATCGATTTCTTACTTTAAGAAGCTATTTCAATCGCAAAGCCAAGGGGATATGGACCTCTCTTATTTACCGTTAACGGGAATAGTTTCTCAAGAACAAAATTCTTCTCTCACCTCTCCCTTCTCTCCTGAAGAGATACGTAAAACAATGTTCTCTTTGGGAGCATCTCAGGCCCCTGGATCTGATGGTTTTCCCGCTAGTTTTTTCCATCGGTATTGGGACGTTGTTGGAAACGAGGTGGTAGCGGCTGTATCAGCTTTCTTCATCTCTGGTCGGCTCCTCCGTAGTTTTAATCATACTTGGATAGCTTTAGTACCTAAGACCACAGATGTAAGAACGATGAAACAGCTACGACCAATCAGCCTTTGTCAAGTTATCTATAAGTTGATCGCGAAATTAATGGCAAACAGGCTTGCCAAAGTACTACCGAGCATCATCTCTCCATGCCAAAATGGATTTATACGAGATCGTCAGATCGTTGACAACGTATTAATTAGTCATGAGGTAACTCAATTTTTAAAAAATCATAGAAGTGGCCAACGCTTCTACATGGCCCTTAAATTGGATATGGAAAAGGCCTATGACCGAATCGAATGGGACTTTCTTCTAGAAATGATGAAGAGATTAGGGTTTGATGAGCGGTTCACTTACTGGATTCGACAATGCATATCTTCTGTTTCTTTTTCTGTCTTAATTAACGGAACACCTCATGGTTACTTTCGACCCACAAGGGGAATACGTCAGGGTGATCCTTTATCCCCTTTGTTGTTTGCTATTTGTTCGGAAGGCTTCTCAGCCTTAATCAACCAAGCGATAACAGTTCGATTCCTAAGTGGTATTCGAATTAGAGAACATTGTCCTACAATTTCTCATCTTTTCTTTGCGGATGACTCATTCTTATTTCTACGAGCGACCCTAGAATCGTGTCAGATTCTTATATCGCTTTTAAATGCTTATGAAGGCTTGAGCGGCCAAAAGGTTAACCTTCATAAATCAGCAATCCTTTTCAGTAAGAATACCCAAGCGCGAGCAATATTAGACATGGCTGGGATTTTGGGAGTAGGATCAATTGGTACAGAGGATCGCTATTTAGGGTTACCAACTCTGATCGCTAGATCAAAAAGTGACACATTCCAGTTAGTTGAGGCCCGAATCTCAAAAAGGCTTGCAGGATGGAAAAATCGCACTCTATCCAAAGCAGCCATTGACACTCTAATAAGATCAGTTCTTTCTTGCATGCCTGTGTATTATATGTCATGTTTCAAATTTACTATCGACTTATGCAAAAGACTTAATAGACTTCTAGCCAAGTTTCTGTGGGGAGCTATGAGGCATTCCAATCACCGAGCTGCGCATTGGATTGCTTGGAAGGATATTTGCCAAAGCAAACAGCGAGGAGGCCTTGGATATAGAGACTTTAGGGTCTTCAATCAAGCTCTATTAGCAAAGCAGTGCTGGAGAATGTGGATAAAACCTGATACCCTCGTTGCACAAATTTACAAAGGTCGATACTATGCCCAAACTTCAATCTTAGAGGCCAAATTGGGATCTAATTCTTCTTGGGCTTGGCGAAGCATATTATATGGACGAGAACTACTCCTTCATGGACTTCGTTGGCAAATAGGAAATGGTGAGAGTGTCCGAGCATTATCAGACTTATGGTTGCCTTCATCACCCCCATCATACCCTAAGCTGAAAGATCAAGCTTCTGCTGAAGAGTCAATCTTGGTATCCTCTTTGATTTGCAAAGAATCCAACAAATGGAGGAAGAGTTTGATCAATGAACTGTTCTCTCCCGATTCCGTATCGCTAATTTGCTCTCTTCCAATTGCTAGACATGATCAACCAGATAGGAGAGTCTGGCATTTTACTCCTAACGGCGAATACTCAGTCAAAACAGGATACCATATGGGCATCACCTTGGCTTTATCACATGGGGCTAAGAGTATATCTCAGGTGATGGATGAAGGCTTATGGAAAAAAACATGGCAACTCCAAATTCCCCCTAAACTTCGATTCTTCATATGGCAAGTTTTAAGAGTTATCTTACCGACCATGGCTATTCTTAAAGCACGAGATGTACCAATTTCAGACCTTTGTCTAGTTTGTTGCCTTCATGCTGAAACATTGGAACACTTATTCTTTTCCTGTCCATTAGCTATTCGACTATGGCGAATGGTAGAGTTGGAGAATATCCTTAATCACGCCGCGCAAGAAAATTTTAATACTTGGTGGCGGAGAGTAATGTACTCTATGTACAACCCATACCAGATTCTACAAGTCGTGTGTTTACTGTGGAGAATCTGGAAATCTCGAAATACAGTAGTTTTTGAGCATACTTAACTACTGCCATCCGTACTCGCTGCTCAATTCGCTCACCAAGTACAAGAATTCTCCTCCGCCCATCCATTTGTTCCTCCTCCCCCACCAACGGTGCTCCCTTCTGTGCCTCCTTCCTGGACCCCCCCTCCTCTTGGCCATCTCAAACTCAACTTCGACGCAGCTATCCATCCTTCCCGAGGTAGTTCTACAGGCTTGGTGTTGAAGTCTGCAGACGACCGTACGCTCCTAGCTTTTGGACTTCAACATCGTGAGATCGTCAACCCTTACCTAGCCGAACTACTAGCCGCTCGAGATGGTTTAAACTTGATTCGTCACTTCAGCCTACGAGAAGTCATCCTAGAAGGGGACTCCGAAGTCGTCGTTCGTCAGCTTCTCAAAGGGATAGAGTCAGATGCTGTTGGAGGGCCGGTTCTCAGAGACTGTCGTCAGATGATCGCTACCCTAGACATAGGCTTAGAGGTTTGTGCGGTTCCTAGAACTGCCAATCGGGCTGCCCATAGTGTGGCAAGAAAAGCCCTTTCTCTGTCTAGTTTAGAGTTGCTTTCATTTTATTTTGTTTCTTGGGTGGGAAGGGACTTATAGGGTGGTCTAATTTTCTTGTATTCTATTGTCATATCTCAGATTAAAAAAAAAAAACATTAGACTCTTCAAATCCACAATCCAATAAATCCAACATAAATCCCAAGATTTTTATTGGCCAAAACCCTCATTTTTCAAATCCAACAAGCAAACGACCCCTAAGTGTGGATTTTATTCCTCTCGACTAGACTCTCTCACTCACTACTACCATACCTCAATCGCCAAGATGGTCAATCAATTATACTCAGTTCAATCTGTCACTATTTGACAACTCATACCAAACTCATTGTGTTACTTGTAGTATGTTTATGGGTTGCTTAGTCGTTTCTTGTTTTAGTTTAGCTATTTAGTTTGTTACCGTACTTTTTAGGCACCAATTTTTTCTTTTGTGTTTGTTATTATACTTAAAATTTTCCCTATTTATTTTGCACTGAGTGTTGGCACCACACCTTTCTTTGTTTTTATTTGTTTTGAGAATAATTTTTTAGCTAGTATTTGTATTTGTATATTTGATTTGTGATTATACCGATACCGATACAAAAATTTTGAGAATTAATTTTCGAAGAAAATTAATTTAGTATTTAGTATTGTACCGATACCGAACAAAATTTTAGGGATTGTGATTGGAATACCGAATTTATTTTGGGATTGAGTTTAGAATATAATTGATATTCAGAATTTCGGTATTTGATATAGGAATACCTATAACATACCGATTTAATTATAAATAATCAAATATATCTAAGTATTAAAAAAAACAATTGACAAAAAGAAAAAGAAAAAGAAAAGAAGAAGTGAAATAGTCGTAGGAGAGAGAGTTTGAGTCTGTTTGATTTCCATGGTATAACTAGCAGGCAGCAAGGCAACAGCGCCAAGCAGCCATTTCCTTTCTTCTCCTCCTTGCCATTTACTCTGTTATTAGTCTCCTTCCTCCTCCTCCCTTGTTTTTCGGTCTCTCCAAGAAAACCCTTTCATCTCCCTCTCTCACTCATATATTCTCGCGACATTTCTCACCCTTTTCCCATTTCTTCTCCCCTCTCAAATCCCTCGCAATTTCCTCCATCTTCTTCTCCAATCTCCCCCCCTGTTTCTCTGCAATTCCCCCAATCAAATCACTTTCCGCCATTTTCCAAACCTCCGCTTCCCAATTCAATTTGAATCCCTCCCTCTCGTTTCCCAGTCTAGGTTAAGGAAGAAAAAAAGAAAAACGGAGGAGGAATCGGTTACATCATCAAACAATGGCGATCGATCTCTGTTCCGAACCTAGTTCCGCAATCAGCCCCCGGATTTCCTTCTCCCACGATTTCTGCCTCTCCGAATTCGATCAACAACAGCAGCAACAGCACCCTTACCGATCCGCATCCCCCGGCACCAGCATCGACTTCGATTTCTGCGTGAGGAAGAGCAGCTTCGATCACGACCCTTCCTCTTCCGCCGACGAGCTCTTCTCCGACGGCAAAATCCTCCCCACCGCCATCAAAACCGCCGCCGTCCGCCCCAAACCGTCTCTTCCTCCGCCGTCGCCGCATCCTAAGCCGCGGATCGAAGAATCCTCCGCCGGCAAAGAAATCGACGATAATCATAGGCGGGAAGAGGACGAAGAGTCGAAGCAGCAGAGCTCGTCGAAATCGTTCTGGCGGTTTAAGCGGAGCAGCAGCGTGAATTGCTCCACCGGTTACGGGAGGTCGTTGTGCCCGCTCCCGCTTCTCTCGCGGAGCAATTCCACGGGATCCTCCACCGCCAGCGTCAAACGAGCCCCGTTTTCCGCCGCCGCCGCCGGGAAGCAACACAAGCAGCAACCTGCTGCTGCTGCTGCTGCCTCGTCGGACCACAGGAAGCCGCCGCTGAGGAAGGTCGGCCACGGAGGGTACGGCGGCAGCGGCGCGTCCGCCGGGGTACGGGTGAGTCCGGTGTTGAATATGCCGTCGGGGAATCTGTTTGGGTTGGGCTCCATTTTCTCTGGTCATAGTAAGGACAAGAGCAAGAGCAAGAAGTAAACGGACGCCGTCGATGATTTCCCTTCCTCCCTTTCCTCCCGTCGGATTGTTTTCTCTTTTCTTTTTTTTCGTTTGTTTCTTTGCTTTGCTTCGTTCTTCATTTGTTTTTGGATTGGTGAAGTGATTTTGTTCTCTCTTTTTTTCCAATGAGCAAATTCAAGTGTGGATTTTTTTTTTTACTTTCTTTTTTCCTTCCAATTGTCTAGCTCACTCTGCTGAATTAGCTTTTGTTATTTTTTTTGTTAGTTGCATTATGAGGATGTGGAAGATAGGTTCATAACATAGAGTGTTTGTAAAAAAAATTCATAAAAAAAATATGGAGTTCATGTAAATGATATAATAAAATTCAGTAGCTCGGACGAATATGCTGATTTTTGTAGTTATGTGCTACTGAAAAAATGCAAATACGAGATTTTGAAGTTTAGTCCTCTTGAAAGAAAATGATGGAAGGAAGGCAAAAAAAAAAAAGGTCTTTCAATTAAATTGGAGCGGGAATTTCTAAACTAATATATGTATTAGACAACCGTATTCCTTGAGCGTGTCTTTTAAGTCTTAAAAAAATAAATTGAGAGGGGATAATGATAAATTGATAATGATGCCCCTACATATAATTGAGGGGCACATGGTGTTTTGGAGGACAAACAAAACAAGACAGGTAACCTACGTCCATTGCTTTACATTACATGGGTTGTCCCATTCCATCCTATTCATGCTTTCCCTATTCCAAATTTTTTTTTTTTAAATCACGAAATAGATACTTTAGGCAAATTGTACATCAGTATGATAAGAAACCAATTTTAGTTAACAAGCGTGTTTTGGAGTTAAATGGAAGAGAATTCTTGTAAGAATTTCGAAGTTTAACGTGATCATTGTAGAGCGATGCAGGGATGGGTGACCTCTCCGAAGTCACCTTGATATGCACGCCGAGACAAAAAAAAATCGTGCGGGTCTAGACTCGAAGCAGACAATATCTTGGTCGGAAAAATGTCTGAGATGTTACAAGTGGTATTAGAGCCTCTCTTCGTCTCTCTTGGGCGATGATAGGGTAGGGCAAACCTCAATGAGGACGTTGTGTCATGGAGGGGGGTGTATGTAACATCTCAGGAAGATCCTACATCGACAAAACGTAGGAGAGATTCGTGATTCATGAGTAAGAAACCGACTATAACTAAGAATACATATTTTGGGGGTTAAATGGAAGATCTTCGAAGCTAAACGTACTCACTGTGGAGCAATGCAAGAATGAGTAACCTATCGGGAAGTCACATTGACATGCACCCCAAAGAAAAAAAAAAGTGTTGGTCTGCCCCCAAAACGGACAATGTTTTTATCTGAAAAATGTCCGGGATGTTACAGTTCAAGACTCCGGCATGAGTCCAATACGAAAGTCAAAACCATTACACCCCGCAGTAAAAAAAGACTTCATTAACGGCCAGATGGACGACCATATTATTTTGTCTACCAACAAACAGAATCCGCAATTCTGTGAAGCAATTTGCATTAAAGATCCAAGAACACCTCAGGTTACTGAAGTGTGGGAACCAAGAACATCTCAGATGTATTTTTAGATAGTCTCGTTCTTCTTTAGATGTTTGTTTTTCTGCTAGGTAGCATGTTTGTAGTAGGTGACTGCTCTGGTTTTTTTTTTTTATCTCTGGTATTTGTACAGTTTTACTATTTGGGGTGTTAGACAGTTTCCAGTTTAAATGGTCCTTTTGCCGTTCTTACTTGATGAATAAAATGACTAATTCATAATAATAATAAATTATGTGAAACAATTAAAAATCCACAAAACTCTTACTATATGGCTCCACCACTACAATCGCTAACGAAAGCCGTATTCACCTTGTCGACATACATAAATTATGTGAAACAATTAAAAATCCAATATAAACTTTCATCTTTATATTCTCGAAAAGACCAAAGCATAACCGAATCAATTTGGACCAATTTAACCGGATCGAACCTTATAGCCACCCTAATCAATATAGCCATGGGAACTAATTGATTTTGGCTGTGTCTGGTCCAAGCTGAATGCCCCGTTGGGTTCAGGATCAAGATGGACCACCTCTAATTAAGCTCTGCAATCCACCAAATGAACTGAATCCCAGCTATAGAAATAACCTTCATCGGCAAAGATAATCACCCACTGAGCGGTTAATCCTGTTCGCCTAAATATATAGAGGCCGAGGTTGTGTGATCAAGCTCAGTGCCGATAAGTGGTTCTGGTGTAAAATTCATTATATCCATCAATGCACAAATCTAATTCGTGAATCTATGAAGTCAATTCATTTGTCACCTCTAATCGAAGACGTACAATAAATAGGTTAAGGATTGAATGCAAAACTAACTAAGTCTACTCTTGAGACGGTAGCCATTCGATCACTCTTATACAATGATTAATAGATCAAAACTAAGGTTTTCAAATCGGTTTAAGTCATTGAGCCGGTCAAGCAAGGAATTTGAGGTTTAATGATATGATCGGAGTTCGGCCGATTTGAGCCGTTTTAGACATTTTCTAAATATATATACAAATAATGTAGTAATTAAATATTTAATAACTGAAATGAAATAAATCTTACATGTTTCTATTAAAAACTTATTTTCCACAAAATAAATCTACCTAATCTCCATGACCCACCCATTATCTCCCTTCCTTCGTTCCTCTTTCTCTCTTCCCCTCTCTTCTTTTCTCTCTTTAAGGGTCGAATCAGAGATTTCTACAGGCTGTATTGAAACCCAACTAAGGTCGAACCGAGTCCAACCGAGAATTCAATAGGGGTTTAACAACTTTGATCAAAACATATATGCAGAAACCAATTAAGAAGGGGGAGGAAGTCAAGAAGAATTGAAGATGGAAGTGGTAAGCTTTGCTTTTGTCCCATTCCCTTCGCTTTTTCCAGTAGTTCGTATTCCTTTATTAAATTTCGTAGCTACTACCATTACCCCGTATGCCTTTGTCATTTTTCTTTTATTTTCTAGGTTAGGCAATGTACATTGCAAAATGCTCAATTTGCGTTCTTGTGATTATCTTTAGTTCTTTTTACGGTAGTGTACATGTGAAGATAATTGTTTATTGATAAACATTTATTTGATATTGTATATACATAGCTTTAAATTTTATGTATAATTGTTGAAATTTTTGGTTTGAATGAGAAGAAAAATCTAAACAGAGAATTAAAGGGAATAAAAAGTGGAATGTATCTCAGGTTAATATTGTTTTAACTTTTGTTAAATGCTAATTTTGTAACTGTCATTACCCGCCATCGATATCGGTCATCTAATGTCCCTCACCCGAAAAAGTTCAAAACCAGTGGCGACCGGTAATCTCTACAAAATTGGTATGAATATCAGTGATTCGTATTTGTAGTGTTTTGTTCAGTAGCAATTGTGTAGCAGTAAAATGAGTTATTTTTAAATCATACGTATTTGGCTTATTGTTCGCATTAATAGTGATTATATATTAGGTATTTTTTCACTAACTATCACTAGGAATGGTAATGGGGCAGGTCACGGGTAAGAAACTCGATATCCATACTCGGCTACTCGCCCCGTGGCAGGTCGGGTAATTCATCGCGGGTCGGGGCAGGTCGACGGTCGACCAATATGGGTTTGTAATCTAAAAGGAAAACGTTAGAAATACTATTTTTCAGTAAAAAAAAAACCAAAAAACAAACTAAAATATGATAAATATAGTTAAGTTATTCAAAAAAGTGAGGTTCTCACGTATTTACAACTTCATTATAGCTAAAAACATGAGCTAATAGAAGTAAAATCTTAAATAATTTGAGTAAAATTACACGTAATTTAGGCACAGGCGAGTCGCAAATAGAGCGAATCAAGGCAGGGTGAATCAAGGAGAATACCCATGCCCGCCCCACCCCCAACTTACAAGGCAAGTCAAATAGACCGAGTATAACGAGTCTGGTCAAAATTGTCATTTCCAACTACCACCCCACCCCATCAAAACAAAAGTCGTGCTCAGCAGTTGATCCAAAACAGGTTAGAGCACTGGGCCGCATTTAACAAGTGATAGAGAGGGTTAGGCCGTAGCCCAATAAACACTGAAATATATACCCAAAATCGAAAATTTACAAATACTATACGAGTTTTAGATCCGGAGATTGTTGGAGGGTGGCGTCGGGCTGCCGCCAGGGGCTGCCCCTAGATCCAGTGGCGGATACATGGACATTTAGGGGTGTCCCGGGACACCCCTAAAATTTGGAAGAACGATTATCCAACCCCCGACTGTAGTTTCGTATGGAGAAAAAATTATAATTGGTAATCCGGGACACCCTTAAATTTGAAAAAAAAGAAGATTATACTACTCTCGATAGTAGTTTGTGTAAGATTAAAAAATTATAAATGGTAGTTTGTGTTGTTCAAACTTAGGACACTACTATTATTAAACATATTCTTTAGGTTGCAACTCATTTCTTGTTCTATTTAAACACTAAGAAATAGTAAAAACATTATTGCTTATCCCCAACTATTTTCAAGACCTAACAACTAAACTAATTGTGGGTTATCCTTAATTTGAATTGATTTTATAGTTACACAACAAGAGTTAAAAGAGTATTTCAACTTTGAAATACATAAAGAACAAGGTTAGAATTCGAATATGAGATCAGTTCGTATATTATTGTCTAGTATGATATATAAATTTGTTGAGCAGTGAAGACGTCGAGTATATTTTATATTCTTTTTCAGAATATGAAAACACATCGTGGCCTTTTGTTAAAATTTGTACTAGTAATGTATTTTCTTATTTATGAATTATTTATTTATTATTTATTTTTTTTAAAGAGGACACCCCTATAAAAAATTTCTGGATCTGTCGCTGGTTGTGCTCAGTAGTAACTTGACCACATCTCCTCGCGCTCCTCGAATTCCCACTCGCAAGGCAAATCCAAGTTTTTCCTTTCCCCAAAACAAACGGAAACAAAACCCTAATTAACATCTTTAACTATTTGAACTTTTTATAATCACCAAGCCCTAAACGACAAAAAAACCCTAAAAACAGAACAAGCCGAAGCCGCCGGCGCGACATGATGATACAGAAGATCCACCGCGGCAGAGGGAGGCCGCGGAAGAATCCCCTGCCCGCCGCCCTCGGCATCAACGTCACAATCAGCAAAAAGCCTCGATCCTCCAAATTCGACGCGATTTCCGCCGCTCCGAAAATCAATCCTCCGCCGCCGCCGCAGTGGCGCAACAAGAGGCCTAGGTCCCTTGCCGTCTCCCTCGACGGAGGAAGAACGGCGCCTCCTTCTTCTTCTGCTTCGCTCCCCGGATCCGCCCGGCCGCCCGGCGATCGGGTCGACTACGACGACGACGACGTTTTGGGGTCCCAGTGCCTGGCGGACTTTGATATTCCGGGGCCGATTCCAGATCTGATCGATTTGATGAGCGACATGAGAATCTTTCAGGATTTCTTTAAGGATATGGAGGATCTTGAATTCGGTTAAGGTTCTTGATCGTTGGCTAGCTAAGCTAGCTGCTCTGTGTGTATATGTTTTAATTAAGGTTTTGAATTTTTGTAGAGAGAGAGAGAGAGAGAGAGAGAGGGATAGGTAGATAGATGTTTTTGTAAATTCCGACGGCCGGCGAAGAGAGTAGACGGTATGCCGGTACCCGTACAGTACAGATCCAACTGATAATTGTCTAATTGGTTTTTGATTGATTAGCCGTATTTACACCAAATCAAATCACTCATACCAAACAAGTTAAAAAAAAATAATCAAATTAAATATCCAAATTATCCTAATAATACCATCAAGAATGTCAATTCCTAAGCGTTCAAAATAGTTATTAATTCGTGGAGGACTAATGAGTTGAAAATGGTCAAGTGTGGTAATAGTCTCATGGTATCTACTTACGAGGCTTGTATCTTCATCTTAGAAGATAGTCGATGGGGGGTTTGGAGTTAGACATGAAATTATGAGTTCAATTAAAGATCGCGAAGGTGTTGGGTGAGAATGGTGAAACTTCCTGGACACCAAACGAGTAGTTTGAAGACCGGTTCAAAATCCTCGATCAGGGGAGTAAATTCCACGACCGTGGAACACAAGGACAGAGAGGAGATTTGAGCAAGGGAGTCCCTCGACAAAGGACATCAATTTCACGATCGTAGAACATGAAGACACAGACCGTGGGATACCACTGACGGTTAAAATTACCTTTTTGTGTTTAGAATTCTTTTCCTTTTCAGGTTTTTTGATTAGTTTTATTTTTCTAGACCTATTTAAAGGGTTGTAAACACGAGTTTTAGACTTATACTTTGATGATCAATTGAATTTACTCTAGTTGATTAAGTATATTTGGCTAGTAAATTTTGATCTTGTCGTTGGTGGACTCAAATCGCGTTGAGCGTGTATCTGTATCAATCAAGCATCCATCTTGATTGTGGTCGACCTTCTACCCTTATATTGACAGAGCTTTCTCACAGGTGTGAGATTGCACTTTGAATTCCGCCTTATCCCTATCTTTAATCCTTGCTTTAGGTTGTGCGACTTCTATAATTACGCGCATCGGTTCCGTGCTCGTATCAAATTGAAACTATTATCATGTTAACCACTTTGTTTGAACACCGGTGTCAGGACGAATTGAGAAATCGACAATGCAAGAAAGTAAAGAACATACAGATCTACGGGATTCACTAACACGATATTTGTTAGCTAATCCACAAACAAAAAAGACCGGTTTCACATAGAGATTGAAAAGGTATATAGTACCTCCTCCGCATATTCTAACCTAATCCAAAAACAGACAAGCAAGAGTGTATAAACTCATACACCATGGGTCGGGGCAACGCCCCCAACCAGAAGCTTCGCCCTTGAACCTCGACTTGCTGACCTGCTTGCCAATGGGACTCCATGACTTTTAGTCGACTACACCTAATTTTGTTTTCAAACTGATAGCAACAAATTGGTCTACTATACTCTGTAAAGTTGAGACATCTAGGCACTGGCAGTGGATCGACGAAACATTGGTGGACAGACCAGAGAGCTGCGCCCATACGGCCTATGACTATTTGAGAGCATGGTTCGCCTCTGACGGCTTGGAATTTTCATCACGCATATTTCAAGTGGCCTTCAACAAGTCGTAGTCTTTGAAAGTATCTTTCACGGTTCATCGCATCCGCATGTAATGACTAATGAGCAGTCGAATTCCAGAGTGTACTCTGAACTGAAAAGAGTTTGGTCTTTTGACCTGACGGGTCGGTTCGGGCATTGAAAAAGAGACGCACATGCATGTGCTGCCTGCCTGCCTCTATGGATGGGTTGAGGCATACGTTCAAAACACCATATAGCATATAGATGATATAGTCAATTGATATCACTCACACTATTACAAAGAACTATCATTAGGGGTGGGCAACGGGAAACGGGTATTTGGGAATATCCATACTCGTTCCGTTTTTTGAGGGTTACGGGTACCCAAATACCCATTATATTTATTGTGGGATGAGATTTGGGATTGTAATTTCAATATTGGGTACCCGCGGGTTACCCGCTAATACCCGTTTGGGTAATATGGGTACCCGTTATACCCAATCACAATACACCAAATATGATTTCTAAAATCAGTTCCCAATACCCAATACACATAAACCCAGCCCAGAATCCCGAGCCCAGCCTAGCGTCCAGGCCCATCTCCTCTCACCTCTCCCTCACTCGGCGGCGGCGACTACTCGTGAGCCTGAGAGACAGAGACAGACTCTCCCTCTCTCGCGATCGCGGCTCGCAGCAGCAGACCTAGAGCAGAGCAAGATGAATCCCGACGCCGTCGGCCGCTCCTCTCCTCTAGATCCCTGCCCCGACACCCGTCGCCCTCGAATCCTCTTCTCTGGCTCTCCCTCTATTCCGAATCTGCATTCCGAATCCTGATGCGCCGCCGACAGCCATAGCATCTAGATTGTCATCACTTTCAGAGTACTCGTTGCGTGCTGCTGCTGAGCTGCCCAGTTCTCATCAGCTTTCAAACTTCTTCTTGTGGACATTGGGGGTTCTTTTTTATTTGTGGCCAATGGGTATGGGTTCTTATTGTGGACAGTGGGGGTTATTTTCATTTGTGAGCAGTGAGTGACTATCGATTATGGAAATGGACAACTGATTTTTTTTTTCATTTGTGGAAAGCAAATCAGCGGGTTTTAACGGGTATAAACGGGTACCCGTTACCCGTATGGGTTTGGGACTTAGGATAGACTTTACTCTCCAAACGGGATTGGGTACCCGCTTCAAACGGGACGGGTATCCCGTCCCGTCCCGTTGTCCACCCCTGACTATCATTTCTTGCTTTATAAAATTAGGCAAAGTACATCTAGATAGTTATCATTATCGACTTTGTGATAATAATAATAATAGTTAATTTTTGAAAAATCGCAAATATAGCCAGATTGTGAATGCTAGTTTGGCTAATTTAGTCATTTATGTTAAAAAATTTTAACGTATTTAGAGACTCGCCATCAGTAACATTAACGTGGCGCACGTCAGTCGTGAGTTACTAAGTTCCTCGAATGACTATCATCTCCCTGATATTTTATTTATTTATTTTGGTTTTTTTCCCTTTTAATTACAACAAGAAGGGAACACTTCTATATGATAAATTTGTTTTTATGAAAAAGTTGCCACGTCGCCGAAAAATGTTAGTCATTGTTAATTACAATAAGAAAGGAACACTTCTATCTGATAAATTTGTTTTTATGAAAAAGTTGCCATGTCACCGAAAAATGTTAGTTCAGTAAGCATCCATGACGATGTCGTTAAAGTTATTGAGGAAATGGCTATATTTGTGGTTTTTTCCAAAGTTGTCTATTATTGTCAGAAAATCAATAGTTGTTTACCTACTAAATATAATAATAAATCAAAAGAGAGATTTTTCGAAACCAAATTTGCCAGTCACTTTTAGTTAGGCTAATCGAATATTATCCTTATAATTACGGAAGGCAGCAATAATAAATACTGGATATTTCACCACAAAGATGTGGCTGACGGACTCTAACTTATATATGTAGAAATTAAACTAAAAATTTCTTACTAATTAAACACAATCGAATGTATTAACATGAGTACGTTGTATGTAATCTAAAACTCAACCACGTATCGACATTTATAATCCTACCATACTATCCATAAAAAAGAAGTCTATACATAATACCTTCCTAACATGTATACTCCATAATACTAAGGGGTCGTTTGGTTTTGGTGATTGTTCGGTTGGGATAGTTACAATACATGCATTGTTCACAATGCATCGTTATTTTGAATTTTCTGCACAAAAAATGCATGCATTGTTTGCTTGATGTGACACAAACTATCACTCAAAATGAGTGATAGTTAATCTCAAGTTTTTGGTGAGATTGTTGAGATTGTTTGGTTGAGATTGTTGTGTGTTTTTTTTTTCTTTCAATTTTGTCCCTACCTTTTTATGTGTCTTGCTTTTTTATATTACAAACAAAGGGTAAAAGTGACATTTCATCCAAAAATTAATATAACATATTTAAATAACACAATAACTATCACATAAACCAAACAATCCAAACTATAATACACTGATTTTCTAATATACATGTATATTATTATGCATGCATTAATAACAATACATCTATTTAACTATCACCAAAACCAAACCAGCACTACTATTTCCATCACCAAAAAACTATCAAGGAAACGATGGAATGCTACATAACCCACCTCTCCATATTACTTGAACATAAATTATCAAATTTTGAGGTCATCAAAATTGTCGGGAGTGTTCATGTACTAATATCAATAAAGACAGAAAATTACTTTCTTGGAGTGGAAGCGAATCAAAGTTTCCCATCCCTCGGAATTTGTTGCTTAAAACCCTTTTAACACTTGGTTTACAATGTTTTGATTAATTAATGGGCCTAATTTGTCTTGTTGATCTGAACTTTTGGACTTCCCCAAATTACGAACATTGTTAATTGAAAGCATAAGATAATCCTACAAAGACCACATGTGTCCCAATTCCCAAAATCATCAACAAAGCGCATTCCCGTTTGACTTCCAGCTTTCATCGGAGAAGGAAAAAAAGTGAACCAAATCGCATTCACATGCAACCATAACACAGCCAATGAGAACTATATGTGTCGAATGGAAGACTTTTCGACATTTGATTGGGGGGAGCTGAAATGGTTATTGCCTTTGTCCTTTTATTTATTTTATGTCGATATGGTATACGTGCAGACTCACATTCAGTTGCAGAAATGATAAATCAGGGATGCAACGGGAATGACATTGTTATGGCGAGAGGGGTGGGATGAGAGGGTTTAGTGGATCTATCCACGATAGAATTGGTGGTATCTGGACGCAATTCGGGGGGTGCATCGGTTAGGAATTGCGTCCATCATCTTAGAAGGGATTCAAAAGCGGTGATTGATAATGTCAATTATGCGCCAACAACTTGTGGTAGTGGTAGAGCCACCCTTCAAGAGGTTCGGTGGCCGCTTCAGGCTTTTTTCGGGGAATACAGTGTGCTTCATAGACAGGCAAATAATAGGATAATCCACTTGACAGGTAAGAAGGTTGTTTCTTTGTTTCTTGTTGATTTGATTGGTTTATATTTTTGCCATTGGCTTTAAATGGATTACGCATGTGTCGGCCCATTCCCTCTTTAACTTCTGGGCCTGACCTATATGTCTTCAACTGACCCTATTACTCGTCGGCCCAGAATGGCCCGCTAAAACTGGAGGACGAGTATCCTCCTAGCCTAGTTTTTAAATCCCCGATAATAAGTATATAGCCGTTCCCAATTCGCGCCATGGGGCCGTCGGTCCGTAACAAAAAAAAAAAAAAAACAAAAAAAAATGCAATGGGTAAAAAATGGGTCACTTCGGTCTTCAGCCTTATCTTTTTATCACACTCCAACACGCCACCACTCTCTCTCCCTTCCGTCTGTCTCTCTCTCTTAGCCACATGCAGGTCGGCCGGCCAGGCCGCAAATGAGTCGAGCGGCTCGCGAGCGGCTCGTTAATAAACGGGCCGAATATGAGCTAAACTTTTTTCAACTCGTGAAACTAGCTCGACTCGGTGGCTCGACTCGGTCTTCAGCCTTATCTTTTTATCACACTCCAACACGCCACCACTCTCTCTCCCTTCCGTCTGTCTCTCTCTCTTAGCCACATGCAGGTCGGCCGGCCAGGCCGCAAATGAGTCGAGCGGCTCGCGAGCGGCTCGTTAATAAACGGGCCGAATATGAGCTAAACTTTTTTCAACTCGTGAAACTAGCTCGACTCGGTGGCTTGTTGAGCTGAACTCGTGAGCTGGCTCGTTTGGAGCTCATGATATGTCTCAACCATGTGGCTAGAGAGTCAACTCGATTATCATATCTTATGATTTTAATTCATATGGTTGTTAAAATATATATCTCGCCATATATGAAGTTTTAAGTGAGCAAATGTATCTTATTTTCTATTTTAAAAAAGAAATTATGTATCATAGATTGCTTCGATACTATGGAATAATATGATTTGGAATAGTTAAAAATTTATTAACTAAATGATATATGATAGCAACTAAGTATAATATGAGATTAGCTAACAAAATAAATTATATGTATCATGATATACAAAATGAAGTACCAAATAAAATTTAAGACTTTAGTAAAAAACTAGTTCGAGCTCGACTCGACTCGACTCGGCTCGTTAATAAACAAACTGAGTTCGAACTCAACTCATTTATTAACGAGTTGAGCTCAAACTGAAGTAAAACTCGACTCGATTCATTTGAACCCGCCTTTCCGCAACCAAGCCGGAGCCATAGTTGAAGCATAGTTGAACAAGCCTCTCTCCCCTCTCCTCCTCGACCTCCGCAAAGTAGAGACAACAATGAACAACCCAAATCCCACTCCCAAATCTCCAAGCAAATTCCCGTCCCATCCCTCTCTCTCTCTCTCTTACTCGTTCACTGGTCCCTCTCCCTCTTTCTGTTACTTCTTTTCATGGGTTTCCTCTCTCTGTTCATGCCTCCTCACTCTCTTGCCAACTGTTCTTCATTCATCCCTGTTCCCTTCTTCTCCTCCTCCTTCTTCCTCCATTACATCCGAATAATAGCATCCACTGTTAAGAAGCCAAGCAAGCAGTAGTGATTCACCATTGCTCTTCCCTCCCAGCCTGTCGTTTTGTTTGCAGCAACTGCGTTCGTCGTTTTGTTTCCTCCCCCCGTCTCGTCGCTTTCACACACCCTCCCCAAAAACCATACCATAGCTTTCTTGGATACTTGCCCTTTTTCAAGCTACAGCCTTACCTGGCATTTCTCCTTTCCCTGGTTTCTCAACTTTAATCACGCTTCTGGAAATTCGGCAAATATTCGCCGTCCCCCCACCCGCCCCAGCCAGCCAGATGCTTCTTTCTTTCTTTCTTTCCCCGGTGATTCTTTTCTCTCTGTACGTGCGATTATGCAGCAACCATTCAACTTGACTTGATGCTCTTCAAAGGGTAGAAACAGAGCAAGGAAAAAAGAGAAACAGGGTACTCTGTTTTTTTTTTTTTTTTTGTGTGGGGATGGGAGGACAAGGGATGGATCCGACCACCGTCCCCGTCGCCACCACCACCAACTGCCTCGCCGTCTCAGACAAGCGGCCTCATCGCCCCGGCGGATGCGTCGGCATTTTCTTCCAGCTCTTCGATTGGAACCGTCGGTTCGCCAAGAAGAAGCTCTTCTCCACCAAACTTCTTCCTCCAGGTCCCCCCCTTCTTCCTCTCTCCTCTATCTCTCCAGTTCAACCACTCGTCTACACCAGCCTAGTTTAACTGAACGATAAGCTGTTTTCCTTTTTTCCAGCTCGAACAAAGCAAGCTTCGAAGAAGTTTGCAGGGGATGAAAAGATGCCCAAAACCAAGCCTCATCTGGTAATGCTTACTCTACTACTGCATTTACAGGACAAGTTTCGGGGGAAAAAAAATTCTCTTTGTTTGTCACTTCCTTCTATACATATGTCTAAAACCCTTGTCTGTGCTGGGAAATTGCAGATTGCAGATGAGAACAGCGGCGGGTTCCCAGCAAATGCAAAGAAAATTAGTAACGATCGAAGTCTCACGGAGTTTCAGAAGCAGGAAATGCGGTCTCCAAGTTTGGTTGCTAGGCTCATGGGTCTCGACTCAATGCCTGCTCTGCAGCGAGATAAGCACAAGAAGGCTTCAAATTCTGTTGCTTACTCCAATGTCACGCAAGACCATAGGTTTAATGATGGGTCTGATCGTGTAGCTGATTTAAACTCGGATAAGTTAAGCACCAAGCTTGAATCTAGGCCTCAAAAGCTTCAAAAGACTGGACAGTGCGACAGAAGGGCAGTAGCAGCAACCACTAGGTTTGGAGCTGAAGCATTGGACATAAGGAGTGTTCTGTCAAGGTCTAGGAAGCATAAATATAATAACCCTCCCGCCAAACTTGCTACCCCAGTAGTTAAAAGCCCCAAGCTTTCGACCGCAAGCCATGGGTCGAGGACTTCTAGGTTGATCGATGCCGCTACAAGAATCTTGGAGCCTGGAATACAAGCTACCAATAGAGCCAAATCCACCATTGCTTACTCGAATTCGAGACGTTATGATCCCGATGACGAGGCTTTAGGAAGGGTTTTGGGACAGTCTGTGAAGGAAGTAGAGAAGAGTAATGTGACTTCTTGCAGGAATTGTGGCAATGCGGTTGATGTGGTTGTGGAATCCAGGTCTCATTCGGTGGAGGAAGAGCCGTTTCAGTATCGTGCAGCGTCGCTCGCTTCTCATTTCGCTACCGAACAGGGGAGAGATGTAGCCTGCAAGAGGAAACAAGGGCAGCAGCAAAGTAGTGATGCGGAAAAGCAGGACAAAGGGAGAGCTTGTAGTAGTGAAGTGGTTGTGGATAGGAAAGCCATGTTCCATGAGTTTAGAGCTGTAGGGCAGTCAAATGGATTTCAACATGGCAGCAGCAACCATCAAAGGGATGATGAGACATCTGCTGCTGTGGGTTTCAAGCAGAGAAGCCAAGGCCAGAACAGAATGCCAGTAGTAGGGACTGATAGATTTACTCAGGGTTCCAAGTTGAGTTCCTTTAGTGGTACTAAAGATTTTGTTGCTATGAACAAAAGTTTGAGTGGTCGATCCAGGGCTCGGGTATTGAACAGGATGGATAATCCCACCTTCAACATGGAGAGGAAATTCTGTAACAGAAGAGATGATGTCTTGCCACAGTTAAGGAGCCCAGGGTTTAAGAGGAAGACAGTGAATGTCAAAGCTCAACTTCAAAATACTGGACATGGTAATTCATCAATGCCGCCTGTAAGACAAAGGAGCATCAATTTTGATGCTGTCAATGGGAAGGAAATAGGCTCAAACCCTTTCCGTGCGAGAACCAGATTTGATAGTCATGGTGAAGGCAACAATGATCTTGCTTCTTTTACATTTAGTTCCCCTTCTAGGGTAAAAACTGGTTATGGTAGCAGGAACCAAATGGGGACAAGCACTCCAAAGCAAAGGGACATGGTCATAGATGAAAATGAAGCAAAACGATGTGTGCAAAAGCAAGTGTCACCGAGAAGAGATCCATTAGGCTCCCTTCTGGAACAAAAGTTGAAAGAATTGATCTCACAAGACGAGGATGAGTTGAAAGGTGGCAGTGCACTTCCCATAAGATCCACTGCTATGATTCTCCAGGAGCTGATATCTGCTTTGACAATAGAAACTTCGATTCCCACTTCTCCACCAAGTTGTTTTCCCATTGCCAATACACCTTTCCAGGTGTGTTTTGGTTCTCTTACCGTAGAAGAAAGCTTTTATATTTCTAGTACTTGCATCTTCTTTTCATGGTCCTATCCTATCAGCAGCCTTTTATATCTTCCCTTTTCAAAATTTCCTCTTAAGTGTTATTGACAAGTTGAATTTTTCTCCTTTTACTCCTTTTCAGAACGGAAAGAATCACCTGAGTCCTGGATCTGTGCTTGATGCCAGCTTCTCCAATGAAAGCTGCTTCTCCAGCAGTCTAGATGACAACTCAGGTATCAAAATACTGAACACACAGTATTCTGGAGTTCCAAAGTTTCTAGGATCACTAAACTGAACACTGATTCCTTAAATTATGCAGCTTCATCAATACTGAATTGGGATTCTACATCAACCTCCACAACCGAAGGCAGGTCATTTTCAAAGCTGGTGACAGATCTCCATGACCACATCTCTAGAATATTGCAGTGCATAACTCTAGCTGGTGGTGGGTGTCAGTTAACCAGCAGGGACCTTGGGTATGCAAAGGAAACTATCTTGACTGCTGAGCTTTTTTTCGGAGTTGCAACTCATCATGGTCACGACAGAACGAGAAGTTCGGTGTTGGGATCTTTCCTTCTCGACGAGCTGAATGCTGTTGCAGTTTCCATGGGGAGCACTGAGGGCAGCAAAGAGGCCAGCAATCAACTCAGGAGGCTACTGTTCGACTGTGTGATAGAATGGTTGGGCTCGAGATACAGCAGGTATTGTGATGCAGGGTTCAGAACATGGAGGCAGCAGCAGCTGCTGGTGCCATGGTGCAAGGATACAGTGATGGAAGAGGTTGGAGAGGAGGTTAAGAGGTGGACGAACATGGCCGGATTGATACCAGACGAGATGGTGGAGTTGGAGATGGGACAATCATTAGCGAAATGGACCGAGTTTGAGGTTGAATCTTACGAGATCGGTGGCCAGCTTGGCTGCGAGATCGTCCAGGTTTTGCTGGAAGAAACTGTGAGAGACTTATGGCAACTCTAGCAGAATGGAGGCACTTAGTCAACCCATTTCATGGTGACATTTCGTGTACAAAAGTGACGATTTGGGAGGTTGGTTAGCTTAGATGGCTCTAGCTGTACTGTATCATCTTCTTCTGTTCTAGTTCGGATTTTATAAATGTTTAGGGGAAGCCGAGTCTTCCTTCCTCCAAATTTTTTGGACATGGGAGTTGGGTGGCAGAGAAATCTCCATTTGTTGGTTTCTGTGGAAGCTTATTGGTGAGGTTAGCAGCCAAACGTCACTGTATACATTCCCATAAGAACTAGTCAACTATAACTAATTACGACAACCCTTTATAATAATCGATTAGAGAATTCCCGTTGTAGAGTAAACGTGAATTTCGTTTTGGCAGATTTTTTCAATAATGACAATTTGGATTCTATGAAGAACTGGAAATGTTAGCTAAACTGGAAATGATCTTTTAGTTAATGACGATGTAAAATACTCAGCAAGTTCATAATCGGGCGTTTACATGTATAGAATCATGAAAGGGTATTTGATTGATTACAGGGAACTGAAATTCTTCAAGTGTTAATACAAGGTTTCGCAGTTGCAATCCAGCAAAACCAAACTCCCTCTGCTACAGCAACGAAACAGAGTAATGAACAAAGAACACCACACCGAAAACCCACAACGTGAAAGAACCGGAAACAGAAGAAGAAGAAGAAGAAAAGAAATCACAACGGTGGCAGTTAAGAATCGTGAAAGGAACAAAAAATCGAACGAATCTTAGTGTCTGTACCCAAGTACGGCCTTCCCATTCCCTATTCCTCTCCCACCACCATTTCCCCTGCCGCTGCTGGTGAACCCTCCCACTCTGTTTTCGCCATTCATGATCGCATTCGACGTCGCCGCTGACAATCCCTTCAATTCCTCCAAATTCGCGTAGCTCTTCCTCGCCATCAATCCGCCGCCGCCGCCGTTCCCAATTCCCCTCCTCCTCTCCCCCGACCCAACCGACTTACTCCCTCTTGAAGACAACACGCCCTGCATCTTCGACCCGCTCTTGCACGGCGGAGGAGTCAGGTGCCCCACCATCACCGGCGCCGGCTTGGGCTTCCTATTCTCCTTCCTCAGCGTCGCCGAGAAATCCGGCACCGACTGAGCCAGCATAGACGTCGCGCCGTACCCAGAAGCCCTTCTCGAAACAGGGGCAGGGAGATTGAGCGGTTGGTGTTTGAATTTGACCTGTTTCTTCGGCGGCGGAGTTGTCTGCCTCCAGGACTCGGTCTCCGACACCGGAAATCGGGAAAACGCCGTCGCCATGGCGGCGGTGGTGGTGGTGGAGGGGATCTTGGTACGGAGTTTGGATTCCCTGAGGTGGGCGTAGGCAGTGTAGCGAGGCCCCCGCTCCATGAAGTAGGTCTCGGTGGTGAGCTTGAGAGGGATGGGCTCGAAGGAATCGGAGGAATTTTGGGAGAGAATGAGGGAGATTGGGTCGAGGATGTTGAAGACGGCGGTGGATTGGAAAGTTGGGTTCTGGTGTTGAAGAGCGCCGCTGCTGATGGATGCAGCCATGATTCTTCTTTCTTCTCCGATTTCGTTTCGTTTCCTTGATGGGTTTTCGATGGAATGAATGCTGGATGTGAGAATGATCGATTAAACGATGAATTGGAGGAGGAGGCGGACTCTGTCTCTGCTGTCTCGTAGCTGTGGTTTTGGCGATTTTTGTAAGTTCGGCGGCAGGGAGGAATTCTTTTATTTTGATTTCTTTTTTGTTTTGCCCTCCCTTCTCCTCCAACGGTCCAATTAAAGCAAACTCCATTTTTCTGTGAGTGCGGATCTTCTTCTTTCTCCACTCCCTGCCCTTTTTACTTTCTACCCTTTTGCAAACGTTAATGTTGAGGTGGAGGGAGGGAAGTGGGTACCGGCTCGGAGAGTGCAATGGTTTCGTTTGGTTCGTATCGGATTACACCAAATCAAATTGAATCGAGTGAAATGTAGTTTCATTTTGAGTTTTGAATTTTATAAATAATAAAAATAAAAAGACCGAATTGACATTCGAATAGGATCAAATCGAACCAAATATAATGTTGGTCTGATTTTTAGTGCTAAAATGTCTTTCACTGTTGAATTGCGATATTCATGAGTTTGGTTCGAACCGAATTAAAGCACATTGCACATCCGTATCCTTGGATTGAATCAAAATTGCAATTTCGGGGGAATTCAGTTTTGGTCACTATAAGTTTAGGGTTTAATCTTTGAAGTTCTTATTAATAAATTAGGTGAAGAGGTCGATTCGACTCCAATTCACTTCTACGTCGAAATCGGTGGCTTTAGTTTCTCCTCCTCCTCCTACTCTTTTGTTCTTTTGGGTTTAATTGTTGAGCAAAGTGTTCTCTAATGCTAGAAAGCAGAATGCCCTTTTTATCAAGTTTTTTGAACGGAAAATCTACTAGTAAAAATTTCGAAGTGCTAAAAATCACGATGATGGATAAAGTTATGATTAGGATATAACATCATTTTCAATGAGGGGAGTCAAAATCTCGAATTTTGAGAATTTTGAGACTAGATTTGTAATTCAAACTCCATAATGTGTTTTGCTTCAATGAAAGAGTAAAAATCCAAGTATCCGGTTTTTCACTTCCCTCAATGATGGATGAACTAATGGTCAAATAACAATGGGGAAAAAACAAAGAGATTAAGGAAATGGATCGCTGGGGGGGAATCAGGGGAGACCAAGTTTGAAGGGGAATCAGATGGAGTCAGTGGGAAGGCAAAAAAATTGTTCGAGATCGGAGAAGGTAAAACTTGCTTTGATTGGCTTAAAGAAGTATGGAAGGCTTATGACAAAGAAAAAATACAACGATTCAGCGTTGTGTTGTGGTACCTTTGGAGGAAAGATGCAACCACTGGAACAACAATCCGAAACTTGACGAAGATGAGATCATCCCCCGGGCATTGAATTGGCTTAACTCCTATCTGGATGCTCGAGGCCCAGTGGTTCAGCAACCCCAAAGCGAAGAAAATGGTGCAGATTCATGCGGTTGGGTGCCGCCTCCTGAAGGGGTCTTCAAGTTAAACTCCGACGCGGGTATTCTGAACCAATCGGGAATCGGATTGGGATGTATTCTTCGAGACTGGAGGGGGGAGTTTAAGGGGGCGACTGGAATGAAGGAAAAGGGGGTTTGTAGACCCATCGAAGCGGAGGCGAAAGCCATGATATTGGGGCTGAAGGAAGCGAATCGGAAAGGGCTGAGCCCTCTTGTGGTGGAATCAGACTGCCAGATGCTAATCAGTAAACTTAGTAAGAAGGAGGAGGATCGGACTGAAGTGGGCAGCTGGTGCAGTGAGATTTGGAAATTGGCTGAAGTTAATGCAAGCTTCTCTGGGATTCAGGTCGAATGGAGGTTTACGCCACGAAGAAACAATGGTGCTGCCCACTGGTTGGCTCACTCTCTGGGGATTTGGGACCATCAGTTTGTGTGGGTGGATAACCCTCCACTGTCTCTGCTCTGCGTTTTGGAGGCGGATTTGGGACGGTTTTCTTTGAATCCAGTGTAACCTTTTCTTCTAATATTAATACAGGTTCCAGTAAAAAAAAAGAATCAAAGTATCAAACGAGTATCCAACCTAAAATGGTATCGGGGCCGACTAATGCTTCGTACGCTCGTCTGTCATCTCCTGCAATTTCTCAGCCTATCAGAAGTTGTCAATTCGCGGATTGACCCTGACCGGGTGAAAAAAACGGGTCGCACGCACACGCTGGGTCGGTTGCTACAAGGTATCGGGTTGGAGGTCAAATTGTGTGATTTTCTTTCTATGGTTTGCGAAATGCGCATATTTTCTGAATTTTCTTTTCGCCTAGCTCAATCTTTGGAATCCTTAGTTGAACATTTGAATATTGATGTTATATAAGTGTATGTGAATTTTCACTATATATTGGATCTAATTACAACATGTTACTTTGGTGTAATATTATATGTTATTACTGATATGTTAGAAGAGATTTGATATAATTTATTAGGATAAGTACAATATAATGACTCTTTCTATATTTTCAGGCTAAAACGGGTGACCGTTAACCCTTAACCCACTAGCTCGACCGGGTTCGGGTCAACCCGCAGGTTGACAACCTTGGTTCGAAGCCACCATCATTAGCCCCTCTCTCAACTTCTCGCTCTGCTTAACTTCGCTCACGAGGAAAAGAATGAAAGCCTAATTAGGATCATCCGATGGATTGTGGAAGATGAAGGAAGATGAATCGTTATAGTGACAGTGTCCAAATCTAACTTGATAGCTTGGTTTTTTCCCCCTCAATGAATACCAAGAAAATAGTTAGAAAGAACCACTATCCATAATCCCTTCCCACCCCACTAACTAGCTGACCTACAAAATCAAAAGAAGCTAGCTCTAGCCGGGACAACAACATGTCCTTATGTGCCACTCTAAGAGCAGCTCAGTTGACAGTCCACGAAACCGCCCTAAAATCTATACAATGAGAGAAGGAATCAAAAAGACAACGACAATCTCGAAGAATGGGACCTCCAATAGAATCCTCCACCATTCCAAACTTGAGTTGACATATGACCACTTTTGTGTCACCTTCGATAGATATGAAGAATATCAATATTGTATTCTTGCATGGCATGTCAAATCCCACTACTTTTTTTTATACGAGGAGAAATCTCACTACTTTAATTTATATAGGGTGAGAATGAAGTATTAACCCTACTATATAGTATATACTAGTTGGACTTATTTTGATGGCCACTAATAATTGGAGGCCCAAAATGAACGCTAGAAAAATCAAAGAACGAGGTTCTCGATAATGTCTATTGCTGGACGGTGGGCTACAACTTGTACTAATGACTCCGTTTTTTGAGAACAAGCCCAGTAGTCTACAAGGTGGCTCACTGCCTGGCCCATGATTTTGGGCTCTATTGGTGGGCTTCCTCTCATCCAATATGGTTGATTGATGTATAATGTAGACTCTATGCAACACGGATTTGGAAATTTTAATGCATTCAGGTGATTCTACGAAAATTTCCAATGGTCCTCTTTGCTCGATCTTTCTCTAATTTTGTTTTAGTGTGTCTATGGAGAAGGGGTGTGTGAACTGCGAAGGGCATTATCACATGTTTGTATTGATATAATTTATGCTTAAGTAATTAATCTTCATTCGTGCTAAATAAAATAATAACTCGTGCGTTAGTTTTTATGGTAGTGCGTAATTAATCGTTAACTTTATGAGTTGTAAAGTTCTTTGTTTTATACCTATGAGTTGTTACGTTGAGTGTTCTGTGATTAAGTCAAATAAAGGTGTCTGCGAAAGGTGCATAAGAATGCTTTAAAATGAAATTTAATTCAACTAATTTTTTTTATCCTATTCGTTGTTCGAAGAGTTTCATTTTTATCAATTAATTTATTTAATTGAATCTTATATATTTTTTCATGCCCGTATTAAAGATTCTCAATACATAGCACACTCACCTATGATGCTTCGATTCTTTAATCATAAGTCATATCGTGAAGGTCAATGACGTGCCATCTTCGTGGCTATCACGCTTTTGCCACGTCAACAAAAGTAAATGCCAAATTGACCACCGTCTGGTCAACTGTTATCTATAACGAGCAAAAAATTGTTAGGACATAAATGACACACAATTATCATACATTGTATATTTCAGAATGTTGAATAGGTCTGAACATAAATGACATTTTTTATTATAATTAATATTTTGTAGTGATATTGAGTTATTGACCCAAAACAAATTTCATGGACATTCTAAGCTCCGTCAAAAGGGCAAATATTTTCCTCCATGGTAAAAATTTATTGTACATGTATCACGATAGCAACTCTCGTATGGTCTTCGAGTTCATAGATAAAAATTTATGTGCAAAGATGTTGAATATCGGAATGAGTATTTGTATTAGGTACATACATGTTCTCTATTTCACATATTTTCCATATATAACTTGGCATGTACACAAATCTTGATAAAAATATTTTGAGTTCTTACCTAATTTATTATAAGAAAAATTTATTGACAAAACACACTTCTCAATCCTAAAGCCGATCATACAAATAAAATGAACTACTTTTTTCGTTTCTAAAAGTTGGGTACATAAATACACAACTATAGAATATAGATTACTCCTGGCTAGGGCTGCAAAACGAGACGAGTCGAATCGAGTTTTTGCTTAACTTGAACTTGGCTCGTTTACGAAATTCTCAGTTTGAGTTCAGCTCGAACTCGAATTTTCATAATCCAGCTCGAGCTCGGCTCGATTAAAAATAATCCAGCTCGAGCTTGATTCGATGGAGCTCAGTAAATGCTCATTAACAAAATTTGTCAAGCTGAGTACAAGCTTTTGTTGAAAAATGTGTACACATAAGAGTTTAAATGATAAAAAAGATACTAGAAACTATAAATTATAACTAACTTTCATACACATCTGTATAACATGATAATGTTCATGTTCAGAAGAGTAATTAATCATTTTACAAGCTCTAAACAAGTCAGCTCGCGAGCTTAACTCAACAAGCCACCGAGTCAAGCTAGCTCACGAGCTTTTCAAACTGAGCATGATCTAGCTCAAATTTGGCTAATTTATTAACGAACCGAGTGTCAAATAAATTTTCCCCAATTCAAACGTGCAAGTTACTCGCGAGTAGCTTGACTCATTTGCCGTCCTACTTCTGACCGATGGCGAGAGATCCTGTGCTAGTAAACAAGGAGAAACACACTACTGTGTGGGCAGCAATTGTGCATGATCTCACTCGTCGGCACCGCACGTGATCCACCGCAGCAGCGGGGTAGGGTAGCTGCCTGCCGGAAATCTAATCCGAAATCTACTCGTGTCTTCCCCCACGGAGAGATAACTACTAACCTGATATATATCCTCGTTTATTTGTTTGTTTATAAAATAAAAAGCAAATGTGAATGTAAATATAATATTATATATGTATGGTCGAATTTGATACATTATATAAATACAACGTTTAGTATATGTGATTGTGTATGTCATATCAACTAAAAGCTGAGACAAAATAATTTCAACTCAACTATCTCAACAATCAAACCTATAAGCTGAGATATTACACTTACTCATTGTGAGTGATAGTTTCTGTCCCATCACAGAAACAATCTATTTGTTGTTTCTGCTAAAAAAAAATCAAACGAACGATGCATTCTAAACAGTACATGTATAGTAACAACCTCAACAAAATAATCACAAATTCCAAGCGATAAAATTCTATAACCGTGGATGACTCAAGTTATTTCAATTCAGAGAGTTTGAAATATTTGCATGGTTTAAAGTCTAGAGATTTCGATTCTAATACTACAAACGGTCCCTTAATATCAAGATTAGTTATTATTTGAAAAATGTTTAATTATGAATATTATACACATGTCAATAACTTGAGTGTTACGCAATGTCCAATTTGAGTTATATACTATTTACTAAAATCATCATTTGCAACCTTCGATTTTTTTTATGAGTATAAATTTATCTAAAGAATACAACGTTGGTTGAATTGATTTAAATAAAAATAAAATGTATTCGTAATAGTATGCTGAATCTAAAAAAAATTTAAAAAAATTTAGTGTCTATAATTCATTTGATCAATATACATGCATTCTTTTATGTTTTTTAAATAATAAATTATTAAAATATGAGTATGTGACGGAGGACTGAGGCTTGAGGGACACATTCACAACCAAATAGACATGGAAAACGGGCTTAATAATAATGATTAAGCCCTTTAATTTGTTACCTTAATCTGCATACTAAGCCCATAATGATTGTTTATTATTAGTCAAGGTAGGTATTTTTAGGGAGAAAAAAATGGGGGTTACACTTACGAGAGCAGCCGAATAGAATTCTCCGCCATAACCGAGCTAGAGCCGTTCTTGTTGCCGAAGCGAAGCCTCTCATCAACTTTCTCTCCCACTCTCCGGATTTTCCAACGCTTTCTCGCCATCGAAACAAAACCACGAATCAATCCAGCGCCAAAGCAAAACCCCACACCTCCCTTCCTTACTGAAAAGGTGCCTGCTCCTCCCTCCGATTTCCCGCCTGGTTTCCTGCTTTCCTTTCTCCCCCACTCGCCAATTAGGTAAATGCGCGTTTGAATCCATCATTGTTCGATCCGATAGAATTTTGCGGATCGTAATCACTAGTTTCGCGACGCCATTGCGTAGTCTCTCCGTTGGCTGACCGGCCGGCCGGCCACTGTAACAGTGATTTGGGGATTTTTATTTTTAAATTTTTTGGTGGAGAATAGTCTACTTTTTTAATTGGTTTCTTGTTTTACTGCTTTGACTATTGGGAAAGAAAAGTTTTCCAAAGGCGATAATGCCAGCAGCATCGACGTTTGCCGTGAAAGCCAGCTTAGGCGGCGCCTTTGGTTTCGACGCTGGATTACAAGAGCTGGGAAGGAAGAGACGGCGGGGGAGCATTGTATTAGCCGGTGGTTCTGCTCGCGGGAGGTTGACGGATTCGTTGGCGTTGAAGGGAAATCGCTGCATGAGTCGCATCGGCGGCTTAACTTCTTGCTTCGGGTTGCGTAATGATTCGGTCCCGATGGGGACGGAGCTTATGCGCCCCAGTACCCTCTTCAGAAACCGCCCAGTCAGAGCTCTAGCTTCTGGTTTGCGATCTGTGTTCCGTTGTTTCATTTGATTTCTTAAGTGAAGTGTGTTGATTGGAGTTCGATTTCTACGGTGATCTTAAGAAAGTTGCATCATTGATTTGCAGATGGTGACATCGAAGATGCGGAGCCGTTAAAGCCGACGGATGTTTCAGTCACAAAGAGAAAGTCTACTGGAACGGTTTTACCATTTGTGGGCGTTACTTGCCTTGGAGCTGCCCTGTTTGGTTATCACCTGGGGTATGGCCATAGTGTGAACCAAATGAAGAACATTGCTCTCCCTTGCAATTGCTTATTGTCATTTTGATTAATGGGTTTTATTGGTGTGTGCGTTCTGTTCTTTAACTGCAAAAAGGTTCTGGGTTTCAGGACGTGTCTTCAGAACTATAATTGTCTTGCCCTCTTTTTATTGTTTCCCTACTTATCAAAGCATACTCCTCTTTGCTGCTTCAGAGTGGTAAATGGTGCCCTTGAGTACCTAGCCAAAGATCTTGGGATTGCTGAGAATACCGTCATACAAGGTTAGCCTATTTCGTTTTGGAGTTGGACTGCTGTTGTAGTTCTTCATCTCACCGGGTAGTTATTGCTCCTAGCTTAACTTGACCCTGACAAGTATTTCTGCGAAAGGCTTGTGTTTTATCATGCCATGAAGCTGAATAAGTTTCTAGCCAATGTAGAATCTTGTTTGCTCTCGCCTATTTTGATTAGTGGTGTTCACAATCGAGTAGGATGGATTGTCAGCACACTGCTTGCTGGTGCCACTGTCGGCACATTTACTGGTGGTGCATTGGCAGACAAATTTGGCAGAACAAAGACATTTCAGTTAGATGCAATCCCACTTACCATTGGAGCGATTCTTTGGTTTGTTACTTATCCTCATGTCTACTGTAGTGATGTCCTGGGATTTTGCTTAGACCAAGTTACTTATTATTGCAAATAAATGGTTCTAGTGCCACAGCACAGAGTGTACAGACCATGCTTATCGGCCGCCTACTAGCTGGTATTGGAATCGGCATATCTTCTGCAGTTGTGCCACTTTACATATCTGAGGTTGCAAATTATTTCATTTTTCTTAATGATTTCATTGTTGATACTCGTTTAAGGTACAATGACTGACACGTACTTTTGGTCAGATCTCACCAACTGAAATCCGAGGTGCACTTGGTTCTGTAAACCAACTATTTATATGCATTGGGATCCTTTTGGCGTTGGTGGCTGGGTTACCTTTAGCCGGGAACCCCATATGGTAACTTTTCTTGTCATAAGTTAGTAATTGAACAAATGTTCTCTTTCATAAAAAACTTGATAAATGTTTCAATTTTCAGTAAGGAAAACTAAATATTGTGCAATATGTACATTTATCAAGCACAGCCTGTCTATGCATAGCCCTGATTGTGATTTAACTCTGGTTTTCCTTGATCTTGCTTCAACAACTTATTCTTCACTGACATAAAATAGATGCAAACTTTAGCAGCAAGTTACTGGAGACTTTTGGGAGTCGGGTTAATAACTCATAGATGATCTAAATTCAGATGCTAAGATGTAGTCTCTACCTTTGCTCTTGACACTACTATACTGGGCAGTGTTTCTTTGCTTCCATCTTTGCATTTGAACAGCTTAAGCTTACAATACATTTTGTTCTTGATAGCAGTTCTGTAAAGTAGAACTTTACTCGTCTCTAATTTTGTGCGGCTGATGCTTGATGCATATTGTGTTAGCATTTGGTTCAAATATGTGCTGTTGATGAACTAAATTCTGTGTTAGAACTAAAGTTGTTTGTTCTTGACAAATTTTGATGCTCTTCCTACGCACTTTTGACATTTCCTACGATGTCACTTTGTCATGTAGGTGGCGAACAATGTTTGGCCTTTCTGCCGTGCCTTCCATTCTGTTGGCACTAGGGATGTCATTTTCTCCGGAAAGCCCTCGGTGGTTGGTCCAGGTTCCTTCTTCACCTCTGTGACCTATACTCTGTATTTTCGTGTTTCTCCCCCATTCACTGTATGTCATTGAAATTTATTTATCAACACATGCAGCAAGGGAAAGTTCCCGAAGCAGAGAAAGCGATTCAAACACTTTATGGCAAAGAAAGAGTGTCAGAAGTCATGCAAGACTTGTCTGCGTCGAGTCAAGGTTCTTCAGAGCCTGAGGCAGGGTGGTTTGATCTGTTTAGTAGCCGTTACTGGAAAGGTATGTCTGCAAGTTGTCAAAGCGAACTTCTTTTATGCTTTAAGTTCTAAAACTTCTCAATTTGCCTGTGGGGTCGTTTGGATGGATCAATTGTAAAACGAGACAACTTGCCCAATTGTATTATTTTACAAAACAGGTCAATTAAAATGAGTCAATTTGAATTACCTACCCCCACCCCAAACAATTGTAATTGCCTAGTTAATTCGAAATTCTCCAGGCCAAATTGTTTCATCCAAATTTTATGCTGCCAAATCAGTCAATTGGACCCAATTATCTCAAAATGAGACAATTGGGTAAAATTGATTCGTTAGAATTCCTCATCCAAACGACCCCTACATGTCATTTATATTGCACTGGACTTCTGATGGGTTAGGGATAAGGTCCCAACCCTTGTGTTTCTTAGATTCTGATAATGTTACGCTGAGATCTTAACATGTAATGTTTGTATAAATAGTAGAATCTGAACATATCTTATGTGTTTTGAGTCATTTATCAACTCAAATTTCGTGCTGTGGTGCAGTTGTTAGCGTCGGTGTAGCACTTTTCTTTTTCCAACAGATGGCCGGAATAAATGCGGTGGTGTACTATTCGACTGCTGTGTTTCGAAGTGTTGGGATTGGATCTGATGTTGCAGCGAGTGCTCTTGTTGGAGCCTCAAATGTTATTGGTGAATTCCCTAATCATTGTTCTTTTCTGGCATCTGTCAACTTTCCATCCTAAAGTGTTTTGATCTTATATCCATCTTCCAGGAACCACCGTTGCCTCTTCTTTGATGGACAGACAAGGAAGGAAAAGTCTGTTGGTCACAAGCTTCTTCGGAATGGTAAATATTATTTTTTGATAAAAATTGTTCTTCAACCTGATGCATTAGTACAAAGCAGCATGAACTATTCTTTTTCGTGCTACTGTAAATATAAACATATTGGAGTCGTATAAGTTACCTTATTGTTACCATACTTAGGCCAAACCAGATTAGGTTGGTTTCAGCCTCAGTTTTCGATTTCTTTTCTTCTCCTACCTTCATCCTGTCCGTTGGCATCATCTAGGACTGCTAGTGATTTGACTGGTTCTTAACCCACTGTTTGGTACTAATAATTAGAATGGAAAAACGGCTTAGCTGACAGTTTAGTTTCTATTGTACTCTGAGAAGTTTTGCTGGCATGATCTGCATTTTTGTGCATATTCCTTCCCCCTAAAAAATGACGAGTTAGGATTTAAAATATCTAGTTTCTGTTGATTTGTCTTTCACCTAGTGACAAACTGGCTGTTGCGCATGCATAAATTTTATCTCTGATCTAGTTCCATGATGATGAGTTGGATGATCAACCTTCTAAAGTGCACCCATTTATCTTTCTCATGGACCAATTGATTTTCTTATCTTTAATATGAATTTTTAATGTCTGCTCCGTAGAGTCATAGTCAGTCTCCTATGCTCTGTTACTAAGATTCATTGTTGCATCAGGTGCCTTTTCTTTTTTGCGCACATGGTTTGGAAGCAAAAGAGCTTATGCTCTTCTCCCGAACTTCTCTTATATTCCCATGATTTTTTATTTTTAATTTGTGCCGTCTCTAGGCTGCATCAATGTTGCTGCTTTCCTTGTCTCTGACCTGGAAGGTCCTGGCACCTTATTCTGGCACGCTTGCGGTTCTTGGGACAGTGTGGTAAGCACTATGTAGCATGTTCTGTTTACGAGGTTGTTAGCTTCTGGACCGACTATACATCTTTGATGCTAACTCCAAAATTGTGTTTTTTTTTTCTTTCTTTCTCCAATACAGCTATGTCCTCTCTTTTTCACTTGGGGCTGGTCCAGTACCTGCTCTTCTACTGCCTGAGATATTTGCCTCCAGAATTAGAGCCAAAGCAGTTGCACTATCTTTGGGCATGCACTGGGTAAGTCAATCTTGTGGTTTCCCCCCTACACATAATTTGAACCGGTTAAGTATATATATTAGGTTACAGGTAAACAGCGCTGAGCACCGGACATAATGATAATGTGTTAGAGAATCAGTTACCTAAAAATGAGTTCATCCTGAACTGAGCTTGTGGACCAAAACCAAAAATGGAGATTCATGTTGTTACTTCCGAGTGTGTTCTGATTCTCTATCGCGTGACAGGTCGCGAACTTTGTCATTGGCCTCTATTTCTTGAGCGTGGTGAACAAGTATGGGATCAGCATGGTGTATCTAGGGTTTTCAGGCGTCTGTCTTCTTGCCGTTGTGTACATACTTAACAACGTCGTGGAGACGAAAGGAAGATCGCTGGAGGAGATCGAACGTGCCCTAGCATGATTCAGATGTCTAGTTTTCCCTTGGAGCAGCTCACCTAGGAATAATCTGCCTGGCCGGCTCAGTGACTGAATCCTTCCCATCTTCTGGTATTTTAACCTATTGAGGTTCCCTTCTGTAAGTGAGAGATTGTAGCAATCGTGCTCATTTACTGTGGTTACTTAATCGCCGGCCAGCTTCTTTGTATGTAGATGCTGAACTGTTATGATATTCGGCCAGTTTCTTTATCGTCGGTGGATTTCCAATTGCCATTCGCGAATGCCGCTTATTGTGACGAGTCTCAATTGCCTAAGTGTTGTTATAGTGGTAATACAAATAAGAACCATTAATAAACAAGGGTTTGGGTTGGCGATGTTATTGTTGGTTTTTAAACTGTTTTTTTTTTATAACTTAAACTGGAAATTTGAAGAAGATAGAAAACTACGGGGTAGTTTGGAAGTTGCGAATGTTAAATCATTACATTGTAATGAATTACCGTAATATAAATGCATGTATTGATACAATGGATACATTCTAATACATTGTTTGGTTGTTGAGATTTTACTTTATGGATTGATTTACATAAAGTTACTTTTATGGGAAAATGTCATATTTACCCTCAATTTTTAATTTATGAATGTATTTACCCTCAACTTTTAGTATAAGACAAAAACTATTAGGGATATAAATGGAAAGAAAAAGTTGACACAAATCTAAAAGCAACAACCACAACAAACTCAACTTTTAGTTGAGATTGTATAATACATCATTTTCTGTGATTATTGGTGAGACCTACTTTGACACTTCCAAACATTGTATTGTGCACAATACATGTATTCAACAAACACAGCTCTAACAATCACAACTTCCAAACGACCCCTACATTAATTGACTCGGATACCCTTGCTCATTTAGTGTTGGAAAAAACTCATTTTAGCTCTCTAATTTTTGTAGTCTCAACGAGATCATTTTCAATCGCTGCCATTACTAATCCATTAAGATTTTTTTGTGTCATTTTTTAAACAAATAGGACTTTCGACTATGGACCAATAACAAACAATTGATATAATTAAATCCACTACCAAAATCATAATCAATTAATTATATACCAATATACCATATATACAACCTATAATATTAGATGTAATTAACTAATGAACTTATATATATATATGGTGGCGTATTCGGTGCACTCACTTTTTTGGGTGCGTTCAGTGCACTCGCTTCATAACAATCATTTTAAACATGCGATTTATATAAAAATGATGTCAATCATCGCTTATGATGTGATGAACAATAACGCACATGAATTTGCACAAAAACCATTGAAGATTTACTTTAATTTGAAGGATTTAGAGTTTAGAGATTTAGGGTTAGGGTTAGGGTTTACAATTTGGAGTTTAGGGATAGAACTCAAAATTGGAGGTCTAAGACTTAGGGTAATCGGCTAATTAGTTGTTATCATACGTTATATCATCATATCACACTGATTCTACAAATAAAAATTCAACATCTGACACCTTAAGACTAGTTTTTGAGTTGGGTGCATTGAACGCACCCATTTTTGTGAGTGCACTGAAGTAGTCACCATATATATATATATATATATATATATATATGGCAAGTTCTACGGTACCATGGGTGAAATCCGGGGTACCGCATACCTTGAGTATGAAAACACTATCTAGACCTTGAATTGACCGATCTTTCGGACATGATACTATACTCTAACACTTAAAGATCAAAATCTAGGTGTTAACTCTCCCAATCTTATACTCCAAGATCAATTTAATTAGAAACAATAATCGACGGTTATGATTCATCCAAATATAGGCACAAAAAGGAATGCACCATCTTAGGGTTTATAGATTATGATTTAGATAATTATGACCTATGTTTCACTCATTAAGGGTTAGGGTATAATATCATACACAAAAATCCTGGTAATTCGAGGTCTAGATAGAGTTTCCATACTCGAGGTATGCGGTACCCCGGATTTCACCCGGGGTACCATAGAAGCCACCACCAGAGGGCCTGCTGACACACTCTCACAAGGTTGTCAAACCGGTGGTACATGCGGGTTTGTGCCAGTTCATGCTGGTTAATATTACAAATAATTTACAAATACTCATATTTAAACACAACATTTAACGTCAATACCTAAATATTTGTACTTGGATCCAACAAATAACATCAACATTTAACTTTTTAACACATAAAATAAATAATAAATAATTTTTAATCAATTAAATTCACTAAGATAAAATCATTTTACTTGGAAATTTGTATATCGATCATGACGATCATACTGGTGGTGTCATGCCGGTTTTATGACCGGTACAAGTTCAACCAGTGTCACGCTGGCCAGCGTGACAACCATGCACTCTCATGACCGCTTCTGCTCCAATGTCAACTGTTACGAACTACCTTTGCCTTGTGGCCTTAACATTCAAGTTGCGTTAAAAATACATCCATCTAATATTACAAAGTTGAAGGGGGAAGGCCACCAGCGAAAAATACTGAATGCGAAGTTGCAAACTGTTAGTCCATTCCAACATAATCGTCAAAATTTAAAAGGCTCAATCTCTTGAAAAAAAAAAACAACGGACAAGGAGTTTGACAAAGTAGCGACAGACTGTTTTGGTTGGGCTTCAAAGTTCAAACTGAGTAGGCGACTTGTTAGCGTGATTGAAGGCGTTAATTCTAGTGCAAAAACAAAAGGGCAGCCAGTTTGACTCCCCCCTAAATTGTTTGGTATTCCGTATAGAAAACCCAGTGGTTTTGGAGATTCTTTTCTCTCCGTTGGACACGTTGCTGACCCAAATTAAATTGGATTCCAGAGCCACTGACTTCCAGGTATCGAGTTTGATGACCTCCATCTGTTTTTGTTTCTGTTAAGCACACGGTGTCCGTACCTGTGCCTGTCCAAACTCAAAGCCTATTTGATGACTTGAGTTTGGAGGGTGTGTTAGTAAATGATATATGATTCAAGATTGAACCTCTCCCAACAACTCGACTTATTGGGATCAACTGGTTCTTAACAGGTATAATAATAAGTCTGTTCATTTAATTGTACGAATAGAAATGGACCAAACAGTTTTTAATGGTTTGACATGAATCTAGATGAACCTCCCCGGTTTAACTGGTCCACTAAGTTAACCATAGAAAATTAAGGAAAACACCTTTGACATAAACTAAAACCATCCCACCACCTCAATCACTAATGTTATTATACTTCCTTTTTTCCATTTTCTAGGCTCCATGTCGGATTTATCTGGTTCATTATGGGTTGCCACCTTGATCAGTGAATTATATTTAATAAAAAATTTATGATATTTTTATGAGATAGTCTGAATGCTTTGTTATAACTTTTATGGTGATAGATGATACATATTGTAAATTTTTTATGGTTAGTGATATATTACCTTCTAAATTAATGTATTATATATGTCTTTTATGTTATAGCGCATAAATGGTTCCATCCACAGTTAACCAAAAATTCTATAACGATTAACCATTAAACTATCAGCTCAGTTTGGCCTTGTTGTAGCTTTTGCTGAAACAACTTCTGGCTTGAGCTTCTAGAGAAGTACTTTTCAAAAAAAGCAGTTGAGTGTTTGGTTGAAAAACTATTAGAAGTGTTTTTTAATATGAGAGGTTGTGTAAAATGACTATAAAGGACTTATAATATAAATTATGAATAATAATTCTAAACAATAAAATGTAGTCAAAATGGATCTTATTAGACTTCTTTTATATTAAATAATATGATTTTATAATTTATTTTATTTTTAAAATGATATAAATGAAAGAAAATTATTTTTTCTGAAATAAAATTAAAATAAGGTAATGATAATCTTGTATTTTCAAAACAGTTTTTCGCATAAGTTCAAAATTGGAACTTCTGCTTTTATGTTATACAAAAGTGTTTTCGGCTTTTTAAAAGCCGAGCTTTTAAATGTGTTTGGCCCTACTTCAGCCTTTAAACTTGAAAAAAACTTCTAAAAGTCGGGCAAAAAATATAGGTATCAGCCACTAACTTTTTTCACTTCGCTCCAGTTTTGAAAACATTGATTATTACTATTAGCAGGCGTGGTTCTTTTGATGGGGAATATACAATTGGAGTGTTATCATAATCTCATTAAGAGCAAAACGAATTGGCATGCAAACATGATTATCAAGGACAGCGATATTATTACTCCTCCATTTCTTGCTTCAAGGACAAGTGATTTCGATTGCAGTTGATGCGAATAGCACTTGCATGAAATGCTCCTAAGCATAACTCTTGCATAATCAGATTTGCTTTCTTGATTTTAAGTGAGGTCAGATTTAAGGGGTGTGATTAAATTTTTTTTATTATATTTTTCGTACTTTTTAATTAATTTTTATCTTCTTTATTTAACTTGGAATTTAGAGTTTTTTGCATAGATAAAATGAGTTCTACAAAATAATATCAATTTTCAGTATATTTCAAAAAAAAATTCAAATCGCCCTGATACTTCCTCCGTTTTGAACTCAAATTTTGAAAATTTCTTTATCCAAAAAGAACGAGTTCTTTGTAATCTATTTGAACTACAAATGTTTTGGGAAATACCGGAAAAGTGAACGGTAGGACATTTTGTACTAAAATCATAGTTAAACCGTGATTGAACCGTTTCCTACCGTTAAAACCGCCTATCGTTTTGGGGTCATGTCCAGTATTTTCGGTCCGACCAGGCAGTACAGTAGGGTTTTTTTTTTTTGGTAGAAGACAGACGCTAACCGCGTCCTATATCATGTCATTAATCAAACGATTCATGAAATTTCCCATAGAATCATGGTACAACCAATAACAGAAGTTCGGGTCGCTCACATCAAAGTGATATGTGCCAAAAGAAGAACCATGACCCTTAGTAGCTAAGAAGTCCACTGCGAAATTACATTCATGATAAACATGATTAATCTCAACAGTCCACTCCCTCAAAACTCAAAAGTAAGCTACTTAACTGCTTCGCAAGAAGCTCCGTAACAGGTATCAGTACGATCTCTGTTCTTGATGATGTCCAGCGCTGTTCTAGAGTCCAAATTGAGCTCAATTTTCCAGTAGCCAAGCTTCCAAGCTAGTTCCAGGCCCTCTAGATTCGTAGGAGGTAATAAAAAATAAAAAATAACAATTAATATATTTATACTATTTATATATACAACCATTCTGTATTCTCATAAAACTCATAACATTGTTTATTATATAGTATCAAGTATCACTCAATATTTATATTCTTTCAATTTTATCGGATGTTACCAATCTGGAATGTTAACAAAACACGTACTTTTTTAGTTTTCACGCTGCACTTTTCAACACCCAGTCTACAATGCATAAATAGCTACCCTTTTCTCACTTTGCATTGACCCCGTTATCACCAGTCATGATCGTCTTCTTTCTTTCCCAATGAACTAACTAACACAGGTCTCCCTTCCCCTGCTTTCCTCCACCGGCAGAGAAACTTCATCTCTCTCCCTCTCCTCAAAACCCCACAACTCCCACAAAAGATCCTCCTTTAATTTGGCAGTCCACCGAAAAAGGGTCTCTTCATTCTCTGATCTCCTCCGCCATTAGTCCCCAATGTCACTCCTCCAACTCTGTTTCACTTCATTTCTTCTCCTTCTTCCCCTTCCTTTATACTCCCTCAACGATGAAGGCCTTGCCCTCCTCTCCTTCAAACAGTCCCTGCAACAAAAACCCAGCACTACCCAATTGCAAAATTGGAATCCCTCGGACACAAATCCTTGCTCCTGGGAAGGAATCGGCTGCAACCAACTCGGCCGAGTCATCTCACTCACCCTTCCTTACAAACAACTCGCCGGATCCTTCCACCTCGACTCCACAAACCTAACCCAACTCCGCCACGTCAATCTCCGCAGCAACAACCTCACCGGGACCCTCCCGCCGGAGCTCCTCCGATCACCCGCGCTCAAAACCCTGGTCCTCTCCGAAAACTCAATTTCCGGCCCGATTCCGCCCGAAATCGGAACCGCCGACCGCCTCCAAACCCTCGACCTCTCTCACAATTCCTTCAACGGCCCCCTCCCTCCCTCAATTCTCAACTGCAAGAGACTGAAACAGCTCGTCCTCAGCTCCAATCTCTTCTCCGGCTCCCTCCCGGACGGAATTGGGCCCAATTTAATCACCCTCCAGAGCCTCAATCTATCGTCCAACGCTTTCACCGGACGCATCCCCGGCGACATTGGAAACCTGTCGAATCTGCAGGGAGCTCTCGACCTGTCGCACAATCTCTTCACCGGCGCAATCCCGTCGAGCCTGGGCGCTCTCCCGGAGACGGTCTACATCGATCTCAGCCACAACAATCTGAGCGGCCCAATTCCCCAGTCTCGGACCCTGCTCGATGCTGGGCCCACAGCTTTCCTTGGCAACCCACTCCTCTGTGGGCCGCCCACGAAAGCCCTATGCCTGTCTCTCCCGGAAAAGCCCAAGCCCATGGCGGACGATCCGTTATTGGAGCCCGGCAGCGGCGAGAGGCGCCTGAGTCCGGCTCTGCTAGCGATCGCGATTGTATCCGGGACAGTTTTAGCGATCGGCGTGGTCGCTCTGTCGTTTGCGTATTGGTACAAATATTTAATAAATATTTTGTTAATACGATTCATACATATTTTATCCGTTTAAAACTTTTATATCATTAATGTACTATTAAAACTATCATTAATTTAGAAACGAATTAAAATACCTATACGTATTCTATAAGTAACTTACTATTTTACTAACCATGTTTGATGGCAGGAGGAGAGCTCAGTACGGGAAGCGGAACGACGTCGCCGTGGCCGCCGCCGCCGGGAGATCGGGAGCGGCGGGGAAAGAGATGCTCTGTTTCAGTAGGAGGGATGACGTGGAGTCGCTGGCGTCGGAGAATGTGGAGCAGTACGCGTTCTTGAAGGTGGAGGCAGATCCGGGGTTCGATCTGGAGCAGCTGCTGAAAGCGTCGGCGTTTCTGCTGGGGAACGGCGGGGCGGGGATCATGTACAAAGTTGTGATTGAGAACGGGGCGAGCTTGGCGGTGAGGCGGCTGGAAGATGGAGGCGGCGGGCAGAGGTTTAGGGAGTTTCAGGGGGAAGTGGAAGCGATCGGGAAGATTAGGCACCCGAACATTGTGAGGCTTCTGGCTTGCTGCTGGTGTGCTAGTGAGAAGCTGCTCATCTATGAGTATGTGCCCAATGGGAACTTGGCTACTGCAATTCACGGTAAATGCTCTGTTTTATTCTTTTTCAACTCGATTACATTGGCCTTTTGCATTTGAGGAAAAAATTCAGAATGGGTTGAGATTTTTTTTTTCCAAAAATACCATACTTAATAAAATGTTTCTCTTATTACTAGAGTTCGGAACAATGCCAAACGAATTAGATAGTGGTTTGCTTTATATTGGAGCGATCTAGAAAAGAAAGCTCGAATTGCGTAGGAGAGAAGCAAACCACCCTCAAAACAATGTGGATCGCGACACACCCTGACCAACCACAATAGATTGCTGATAAGGCTCGCGATCTACTCCTACATTAGGTCGAAACTTCCAACGATCACAACTTTGCGCTTGGTTGTCCGATTGTAGCGATTTTTTTTTATATTTGTATAATTTTTCGTGATCGTCGAAAATCGTCAAAAGTTATGCTGAATAGCAAAATAAATTCGCTGCAATCGGATAACCTAGTGCAATGCTATGACCATTAGAAGTTTCGACCTAGGTTAGGTGTAGCTTAAGAGGTTTTCGAACGATTTTTGAAGGGCAGATTGCTGTACCTAAACCCAATCTGTGTTGTTTGCGGCTATGTCCAGCGATCCACCAGGATTTGGAGTTGTTCGCTTCCTTCAGCCGCGATCCATATTTGTTCGCTCCTTATTCCAGCGAACCACTACCTAATTCGCAAGACACTCTAGCGAACTGCTCCAAACTTTAATTGTATTTTGGCATTTTTCCTGCATTTGAATGGCAGTCATGAGATGCTGATATCTGGATATTTGGTCATCAGGGAGGAACGGAGTGACAAACTTCAAGCCAATGCCATGGTCTACCCGCCTCCGAATTCTCAAAGGCCTGGCCAGAGGCTTGACATTCATCCACGAATGCAGCCCCAAGAGGTACGTCCATGGCCATTTGAAGCCCACCAGCATACTCCTAACAAGCGACATGGATCCTCGAATCGCAGATTTCGGGCTCAACCGTCTCGCCTGCAATCCAACAACAGCTGAAGAATCATCATCCTTCGAACCTCCTCTGGCTCATACGGAGAGCAGCAGGACTCCTTCTCAGTGCTCCCCATATCCACTGACACCCACCAACGCTAAGACGAACAACGCGTCGTTCTACTACGAAGCTCCTGAGATGGCTTCGCGATCATCAGCTTCGTCGTCGTCGAAGCCATCGCAGAAGTGGGATGTCTACTCGTACGGGATGATTCTCCTTGAGATCGTCACCGGGAAGTCTCCGGCTGCGATTCTGAACGCTTCTGAGATGGATTTGGGGAAATGGGTTCAGCTCAGCATTGATGTTAGTAAAGCGATTGGTGATATTGTGGATCCCTTCTTGGCGCATGATTCGGGTAAAGAATTGCAGATGGCTGCTGTGATGAAGATTGGTTTGGCCTGTGTTGGAGGGAATCCTGACAAGAGACCTTCTATGAGGAATGTCGGCGTTGCTCTGGAGAAAGCGGGGGACGAATAGGTGGATTGTAGATGAAACAAATTTGTGAGCAACGAGATGATAGTGCAGAACAGAGGAGTCGTCGAGTGCTTTCAAGTGGCGTTACATGTTTTTGTTTATGATATTTTACAGATTATTTATGGGTTGGCAGAATGTTATACTGTGTGAAATTTGTATCATTCTGCGAAATGTAATAGCAAATCAATTTTTTGACATTATGATGCTGTTGGATGATTTTTCTATAAAATAACGAATGTAAATACGAGACGAAAAATGTAATTTTTTTTGCCAATATTATCAATTAGTAAACTTTAAACAATAACAACTAATAATAAAATTCAATTAACACACAAATTTGAAGAATTTTGCAATGCTTTAAAGCATTGCTGGTTTATGTCTTTATGGTACAAATTGAAGTTGTACCTTTAACGTAACGGTACAATTTCGAGTTATACCTATATTCTTTTGTAAAATTTCTTATAGTAGAAACTAAAAGTTCTACCTTTATGTTATGGTACAACGTCAAGTTGTACCATAACATAAAGGGTCCAATTCCCTTATTGTACAACTTCAATTGGTACTTTTAACGTTATGATACAACTTCAAGTTATATTTTAAAGCACCAATACTTTAAAAAATAGTATAAAGTGTTCCATAAATTTACGTGATTCACTAACACAACTTGTCTTAGCTAGTCTAAAAAAAGATAATCAATTTCACTATACTTGAAGAGATACATATTATAAAAGGAATGAAAAGTATATAACGTAAAGAAAAGATCTCGTACGATAACAGATAATCTGTAATATAAACAATTAGGGGTCGTTTGGAAGTTGCGATAGTTTTGTTGAGATTGTCATTATGCATGTATTGTTTACAATACATCATTTTTTTTATTTTTTTTAGCAGAAACAATACATGGATTGTTTCTGTGATGTGACAGAAACTATCACTCATTTTGAGTGATTGTTATATTTCAACTTTTAGTTGTGATTGTTGAGATAGTTAAGTTGAGATTGTTTTGTCTCAGCTTTTAGCTGATGCGACATACACAATCACACATACCAAAAGTTGTATCCTACAATGTATCAAATTCGGCAATACATGTATAATATTATACATGCATTCTCAACAATATATCTATTTAACAAGGGCATTGCTATTCGTCGCCCTAAAATTTCTTATTTGTCGCCCTAATTAAATTAAAATTACTCTAATGCCCTTAATTCATTTATTTCTCTTTCAAACATTTAAATCCAAAACAAACTCATATACTTACATCAAATAACGAATATCAAATAATTCTATATCACATTGGTATATTTGTAATAGTTCATTAATAATTCCAATAGCATTTTTTTAAATCAATTCGACTTGTCTTCAATAGCGGCGACCGGGTTGAAAAATCGCCGGCGACAGGTACGTCCGCCGCGGCAACATAATAATAATAAAAAATCATCCTTGTGGCATTGGTCGTCGTCTTCTTTCTGGCAGTGACACCGGTCGATTAGCAACGGCGGTGGGACTTAGGATACAAGTAGTATTCTCGTCCGCTTCGTCTGCCTTCTATCCGCTTCGTCTGCCTTCATCTTCCTCCCTGTGGTCGATGACAACGTCGTGATTGGGGTGGGCGTCGGATTTGGGTTGTGGAGGGAATTTGGTCGGCGGGAGGGATTGGGGTCTGGGGTTGGAGGGGTTTTGGGCGGTCGATGAGGGTGGGGGAGTAGTTGCTGGCGGCAGATTTGGGTGGGGAAGAGACAGGGGATTGTTTGGGTGGATAGAAATTGAGTTGAGGGTAAATATATCAATTTGTTAGGTTTTAGGGCGACAAAATTTAAATTTTAGGGCGACGAATAGCAATTCAGTTTAACAATCGCAACTTACAAACGAACCACATTTTGGCTTGCAACTTGATTCCCATGATTCCATTCTACCGAACTTTATTACGGTTGGCCACTCCTTCCCACTTTGTACGTTTTTTTTTTATGCCTTCCCACTTAGCTCGTTAAGCATTGTTTCCTTTGAATGATATCGAGCAGTATCCATGAATAGCAAAGGCTCCCAAAAAGATCCATAATAGCAAAGAAAGCAAATCATGCTGTCTACAATTTTTAGGTGTAAACACCTTGCTTGTCTCCAATATCATGTCCTAGGATCGATAGAGGTCCATGAACCATCCTTTGGAGTCAGAATCATATATGGAGTTCATCGGAGGCTCGACGAAAATGTTATTTATAGTGGCAATACTAGTGATGTTAATTTAAATAATAATTCAAAAGGTTGGTACCGTTGTGAATATCTAAGTCTCGGGAACGTCATGCAATCGTGAAATCGAATTCGGAGTTCAAACGAACAAGATAGTGACAAAGATTAAAAAAAAAAAATTGCACAAAAAGTTATCTCTTATATGCTCTGCTCAAACTTTAATTCATTAAGAGCAATACTATAACCATTATCACTTAGGTTAAAAGGGAAAAAATAATTACTTTCTACAACATAATTATTGAAAGAAAGCAAAAGACTTAGAGCTCTCAACAGAACTTATGTAGTGGAATACTGAAATAAAATAAAAAAATCTTATGATCTTCATAGACAAAGTGTGCACGCAAGCAGACATTCAGTGTCGAAAGCGTAAATTAGCGAAATATCGAAAATCCTCACGTTTATCTAAAACAGGATCGGAAGAGAATGTATAAAAAACAACGACTCCGCAGGGCACCATCGTGATGAAACACACTCCAATACTAAATCCCAATCCATTGTAACTTTGGGTTGATGTTCCATGAAGAAGCATGACCACATTGTAGTAAGCAAAAATTTGCATCACTACTGTCACCATTACATCGTGTACATGATAATCCAAAACCTTCCACCGACATTTAACAAACGTGTGAGTTTGGATACTGAATAATATCAATCCGGTCAAAATCCACAGATCCAGACCACGTCGATGACCGGAACTACAATACCCAAAGATGAGAGAAACGAGAACGAAAAAGACGATGTCTGCAGACCTAGCGTAGCGCCCCCAAACACAACCCGGAGCCTTATCACCCCAAACAATAGCAAAATGGCTTAGGATAAATGGAAGCGCAAGGAAGATTGATCCATCAACCCCATAAAAGAAAAGAACAAGTGGATGGTTGCAGAGTTTCTCTATGTCTCGAAATATCACAATTACTGGGTAGAAGAACCCAACGCTTGCAATGCTACTAATGCATAGTGGCACAAGCCATAACTTGAATAACTTATCACTCGCCTTATGAATTCCTTCTCCTTTCCCTACTATTGTTATTACTTCTTCCACCTTTCCCACTTCCATGTCAACCTCCACAGTATAAGGCTGTTAGTGATTCATAAGAAGTACATAAATGATTACTAATGATAACACATGCCTAAATTCCTGTTATTTTACGATTCTCTTATTTATTAGATAATAATAATAGTTATTGCTTCAGAACTAATTAAACAAATCGAGAAAAACTTGCACGCTTATTTCTCATTTCATTGGAAGCCCCGATTCATCGGCAACACTATTTGTGTTGATTAGTTAAGCATATTTGGAAAAAAGATAACAAAAAACTAAACGAGTTGTAGAGTTATCGTAATGTCCGGAAAAAATTGAAATAGAAAAGGTTAGTAAGGAAACAAGCAAAAACATATATTTACCAATAAATAAACATGGGGTAGTTGTAACTTGTAAGGGATCGTTTGGAAGTTGAGATTGTTTCGGCGAGTTTGTTACTATATATGTATTGTTTTGAATGCATTGTTTTGTTGTTGTTTTTTTTAGCAGAAACAATACATGGATTGTTTATATGATGTTACAGAAACTATCACTCAAAATGAGTGATTGATATATCTCAACTTTTAGCTGTGATTGTTGAGATTGTTTTGTCTCAACTTTTAGCTAATGTGACATTCACAATCACATATACCAAACGTTGTATTTTACAATGCATCAAATTCAACAATACATGTATAATATTATACATGCATTCACAACAAATACATCTGTTTAACAATCGCAACTTCCAAACAACCCTAGATTTTAGGTTAAGTTTGGTCGAAGTATACTCTTGCTAAGAGACTTAAAATCGGCTTAAATAGGAGAGGCAATGAATAGTCCACGTCTGTGGGCCTACCCGTGAGGTGACTCTTGACCCGACTCAAAATTTGGTGTGCCTTGTGGGATTCGATGCCGATCGTTTCATAGTGTTTTACTTTGGACGATTCTATGCGGAGTTTTCTGATCCATTCTTGATTTAGCTCATATGTGTCTCATTTTGTAACTAATTTTCTTTTATTTGGCAATGCGCAAGTGATCGTCCAGATGGTCTACGCGAAAAATTCGGCTCACGTTTGGGAGGTGTCATTCTGAAGGAGGTTCTGGTGTTGAGATCATCTCTCCAGTGTGCTTCAATTCATTTCACGTCTTGCAGGTACAATAGAGCTGCTCATATCATGGCAAAACAAGCCCTCTTTTCATTAGTTCATCGAACTTGTTGACCAATATGTTTTTCTTTCATTTGATTTTTTATGGAAAAAAAAAATGAAAACCCAAAATGACATATAATCCACTGCGTATCTTGGAGTGGCGTGGGAAACAATTGGCCATATATGTTCCATCTTTCTTTTTGACTTTGTGGCGGAAAAAGCAAAAGTATGGGAGGGAATTTATTTCCAGAATTGGAGGGGTTGGTCATGATATGATTGTCTTGTTGGTAGGGATGGTACAATATTTAGGTTAACTGTAATCGAATAGCAATCGAACGGTTACTGATTAATAATACACCATATAAGAGACTTCTTAAATGGACACGATTAGTTATAAGATCTATTTTATGGTTACGAAGTTAATCGATAATTAAATTGAATATGAAAAATTCGTATAATTAATTGCTAATAATCATTTAAGTAACTGCACCAATTTAGCCCGACCCAATATGGAAATAGCACAGTCTCGTCTATTCCTACGTGATGTATGAGTTGGTTGATCCACCTTTGGGAGTTGTCTCGCTGTTGCAGGACGACGTGATGGGTGTTAACTTTGAGCGCCGGGTTATGGCGACCTCCCCCTCTATTAATTAGTCCACCTCTGTAACCTCTCTGTTTCTTGGCCTCGGCCTCCTTTGGTATTAAAAAAAATATTCAAAAAGCAAATACACAATAATAAATTTACACTCAATTATGGCATAGACATACACAAGGAAAAAAAAAATGCACTCGATGGCCGACCCAACCCCTGCTAATAAGCCCGACCCAACACATTTTTACTCCTAGTTCGGTTGCTCCAATTCGGCAAAGGCAAAGCTCCCACTTATTCTAATTTCTAGGGTTCAATCTCGACACCCCATCTGTTCTTATACGATTAATGTATAACCGCGCTAACTGTTTGCGATGTTGTTGCAGTTAGTATATCCATGCCTTAAACAAGTATGCATAACCGCTGTAAATGGTGCGGTTAACCGTAACGACGTCAATTTACACTCCTACTTGTTGGAAATCAGGCTATTAATAGAGTCTAGCTGAACTTTGTTTTGTTTAAGTTCAACTCGTTTATAAATGATTTAGAGCCTACACATTTATTAAAATTTTGGCTAATAATTAAGATTTTGAATTGGACTTAAAGTCAACGAATTTTTCTAAATAGTTAAACTCTTAAATAATTTACAAATTAAGTACCATAATATTTTTTGTATAAATTATAGAGGAATTTTACAATGCTATATAGTATTGGTGCTATAGGTTTTTGTCTTTATGGTACAACTTGAAATTGTACCTTTAACGTTATGGTACAACTTCAGATTGTACCTATACTTTTTGTACAAATTCTTTTATGGTACAACTTGAACTTGTACCTTCTGTGATGGTACAACTTCAAGTTGTACATTAAAGCACCAATACTATATAGCATCGTAGTAGTGCTCTAAATTATAATACATGATATTAACCGATCCTCATATTTATTTACTATGTGCATACCATATTATTTAATTCATAAATTTTAATAGGTACTCATATCAATGTAATTTCATAGTAATTAGTATTTAAACCATTATGACACATAAATTTTCTTTTAAATTATAAAGAGACAAATTTGCTCACATAATCAAAGTCATAAAGATCGTATGAGGCGAGATATACAATTTAATAAACTCACGAACTATCGAAAAGACAACTCATAAGATATAGATCATCAATATGCTTATAAGCCAGTAGTCGAGTTGGCTCACTAGGCACGAATGTTGAGACATGCATTCAAATGAGACTGTTTACGAGTTGAGTTCAACAAGCCACCTAATCAGACTCGTTTGCAAGCCTCGAGAATTTGAACAAGGTTTAGCTCAACCTCAACTCATTTAGGGGAAAAGATGAGGTTTCCCGTAAACTTTAGGGTGTCACTACCCTCCACTTGGGTCTGCCCCTGAGTCCATGGATGTGGATGATGACATGAAAAATGGACAAAGGGAATCCGAGACCAGCATGGAATAACAGCGGAGTAATGGGGAAACGGCGTGTGTAAAGTAAAGCCCCCCCAAAAAAGTAGCATGAAGGATATATGAGATGACTGATCGAGGATAAAACAACGCATAATCTATGGCCCGGGCAGGCCAGGCCAAAATAAAAAGGGAGATAAGATTTGTGTGAATAGGGATTGCCCGCCGCCCATTTCAGCAAATAGCAATCGTGGCTTTTCTTCTGCTAACTGCATGCCAACTTGCATAAATCCATCGTTTCCCAATGTGCAGTAGTGGGTCGTCCAGAAGATTAGATGCCAGCCAGCTAGCTGGTCCATCTTCAAATAGCTCCAACTTTTGGGTTTCTTACTCTTACAGAGCTTTGTTGGTTGGTTGGTTGGTTACTTTTTTTTTTTTTTTTGACAGTGGTTGGTTACTTGGTTGGAGTGAAATTGCAAATAACCGTAGAAGATGAATTCGAGGGGCGGGTTGACTGACTGACAGTAGATCGAGAAAAGGGAGTTTCAATGGATATGGTTGGTTCTGTCTTAGGAAACCAATCAATACGTAACGTTTGGCGATCATGCAGCTGGATTTTCTGGCAGCAAGCAGTACTACTGCAAATATGCATGGGAATTGAGACCTTATCTCCCCTAAGACACATTACTAATAGTCTTTGTGGTTCAGTTGTATGATAAATGAAGTTTTTGAACACCAAGACCAAATGGGTTTTCAATTTTAATTATACCAAACCTAAGCTGATGAGGGTATTAACCACAAGTATCCAAATATTGCAAATGATCAGGACGTAAATTCTTCCACTCGCATGGAGATGATGAAGCTATGGATTTAGGCATTAACTAATGTTGTGTGGATGGGGATAATTTTGGCATTTAAACAAAAAAAAAATTGGATGGGATTGCGCTGATTAGTGCCGACTTGAGGATTTTATCCTGAACTTAACTGCAAATGAAGATTGTTCAGGACTTAATAAGAATGAACCTAAGATTCCAGTGGCAAAATTACAGAAAATTTCCATTTCAATATGCAAAGACAGTCATTCTAGTGTGTTCTAAAGTATTAGTACATTGTGGTACAAATGAAACTTGTTTCATTATGTTGATACCATAACATAAAGCTACAGATTCAATTTGTGCATTTATTTTATGATACAAATTCAGTTTATATGTCAAATTATACGTTGGGATGAGAGATGACTTGTTCAAATTAAGTTTTTGCATGTAGAACCTGTAATAGAAAGTAACCCATAATATTTATAGTTTTTACATCGAGTATATATATATAAAACTCGCAATTCGCTTCCGAGTTTGTGATGTTGCTAAAAAAAATCAATGTATTAGAAACCCTACCATTCCTGAAAATATCGAATTTCATACAGAAATTGGTAGTCAATTTTATCGATAGAAAGCCATTGAACCACAATTAAATTTTAGTATAAAATGCCCTATACCGAATTTTTCCAATATAACCTCCAAGTAGGATTTTGCAATCACCGCTAAAAATATGCCTGAAGCCTGAAGGAAAGACTCCAGTAGTTGGGCACCTAAAAAAAAAAAAAAAAGCTGTAAATAATATACGGCGCATATATCTCTTTGTTATGCGGGAAAGCATGGAGGGCCGGAACCATTACACCTTTCTTCCCCTCCTATAAATAGAGAGGTACCCAGTACCAAATTTGGGCACACCAGCAAAAACATAACCAGAGTAGTCATATATTTCCAAAACACTCTCTTCCTTTTTGCCCTTGTTCCACAAAACCCTCATCTGATAATAAGCAGCTACGACCTAGCTTCAGCCCCACGCATATAAATTTGTTTTTATGAGGTATAGTATTGTTTGTGGAGGAGGCATATGAATGGTGAATGATTTGCTGTTGACAGAAGATAGAGAGCACAGATGATTTTTGTGATGCCAATGAATATGCCATCTCAGTCCTTTGTGCTCTCTAGGCTTCTGTCATCACCTTCTGCCCCCCTTGGTGTGTGTGTTTTTTTCCCTTCTTCTTCTTCCCCTTAGGGTTTATTTAGATTTAGATTTCCTATTTGTTTTAACTATGTTGTCTGCTGGCTATATGTTTTCAAGGGTGAGAATTTTTGGTGTTGACAGAAGATAGAGAGCACAGATGGTTTTTTGTGATGCCATGGATGCCATCACAGTCCTTTGTGCTCTCTAGGCTTCTGTCATCGCCTTCTTCTGCTCCTCTTGGTGTGTGTGTGTTTTTTTTCCCTTTGTAAAATTTTACCACAGTTGAGCTGAACTAGGAATAGGGTTTCCTATTTTGGGTTGTTTTTGTTTGCATCTTGATCTGTTTGGGTTTTGTTACTATACTATGTGTCTGCTGCTATGTGTTTTAGGAGGCATACGAATTAAGGGTGAGAATTTGGTGTTGACAGAAGATAGAGAGCACAGATGGTTCTGGGATGCCGATCGAAATCCATATCTACACCATGCAGCCGAACCAAGCCGATGAATGCATCTCAATCCTTTGTGCTCTCTAGTCTTCTGTCATCACATCAATTCTCCCCGTCCTTTTGTTTTGCCGCTTCTTTGACAAGTTTACATCATTTAACGTCTTCTCGAATTATTGAGATCAATTTTTTGTTTTTAGGATTATTGCAGGAAATCAACCAGTTAAGAGATGATTGTTCTGAATTCTCCTCACTCTAAATATTCAGAGTTTCTGCAGATCCAAAGTTGATCAGCTTCTGGATCAGAAAAGCAGAGGAGATTGGATCATCTTAAACAAGAGATTGATCCCTCCTAGGGTTTTGGCAGTGCTGGTTGCAGCCGACTCTTGGCACCAATACATCAGCTGATGATATATACATACCTCCTCGAGCTCCCACCAATTAGACCCATGATTGAATAATCCTTGCTGTGCTTAACCAAAAACAAAGGGCCTTATCAAAACATTATCTTTGTAAAGCTCAAATTAAGAACCAGCAGGATCAAGTTTTGGTTTCATGAATCCCCAGATCGGTTTATATGAAAGCATTGATTTCCTTCTCTCTTCAAACTCTCATCTAGCGTGGAATCCATATATAACACTAGCTGCTGTTAGGAAACCAAAACAAGGGAGGAGAGTGTTAAAGAGTAATTATGCTCGTGGTACCAATCAAGGCAACTTTCTCGGATTAAATGTACCGGTTCATCAATTAAATTTGTTCGAAATCGCAACTAAATTATGTATGTCGAATTCTGGTTGCATCGTCGGTCATTTCCGCCTCCAGACATAAACGTTAAGTACCCAAATGCTAATAATTCTAGGTTTTGTTTGCTTTTCTTCTTGTTGCAAGGGGATTGGGAACGAGAGACAGTCGAAGATAGCTTGTTGATGGTGAAGAAACAAATGAGTAAATTCTGGTTTCTTTTAGATTATCAAGTGGTGCTCCATTTTTCCTGCATATTTTCTTCTTTAATGTTGGATTTCTCAGCTCGTTAAATACCACTACAATGATATCTGAACCTCGGATATCCATATACTTCAACTAATTAATTACCTGTCCTACTACTAGAAGGAACCTAGAAAACCATCTCCTCCAGCGACCTCTCAGCTACTTAGTTCGTTGTTTTTCTTAGTTAGGTTAGTCTTAAACTAATCTTTCTATTTGATCAGTTAGTAGTTTAGAGCAAAGTAATAGTAAGTCTAAGGTTTCCTTTGAATACAACTAAACCACTTTACTACAAGTATAACAGTAGTATACTAGTCATTGTTAGGATTAGAAGTGAGTGAGCATCGTTTTATAACTTCTCATCATCATATATGCATTAGCAGGATGGATACGTACAAGGGAGGTTTAATTATATTTGATCAGGGATTAAGATTGTCATTCAACTATTTTTTTCAACTCTGTTGGCTAACACATGACATATATTAAGGATGATGAGTGTATTTTTCTATCGATTGTGTAATTGTATTGTTTAGAATACTCCAAAGTTTAAAGTTTGATATATATGTATTGTAGGTCACGGCAAGAGAGAAAAAAATATTGATTAAATGTTATGATTATGTTTTTCCTATTGAAGATACGCTATCACTAACTCAAGTAAGATAATACAATGTTCGGTAATCGATGCAATGTTGTTATGATTTCAAAAATTGTAAAATAATTTCCATGACACTTTAATGTCATAAAAATTGAAAAATTAGGATATACAATTAAATGAATTAATACTTAATATACCGTATTCAATGACATTCCGATTAATAAATTGACACCAAACTAGTTTCAATTAGTCTCCCCTTGGGCTTGACCTCTGATTTACCGTCGCCCTTTTTTATTTTTTGTTTAGTTACGGTTACCTGAAAAGACTTTCGGTTTGTATCTATTTGTTCCCCTTGGGAATATCTAAGACAAACAAAATAATTTAAAAAATTAGGATATACAATTAAATGAATTAAGACTTAATACACTGTATTCAAATTCAATGACATTCCAATTAACAAATTGACACCAAACTAGTTTCAAATCACTAGTACCGTAATGGATATTTGAACTGGCGTAAAGGTTTTGATGACTCTCACAATCTCCCAATTTTCTTTGTCCCGCGCATATATATTACACTTGAAAGAAAACAAAACATCGAACCACCCTCTCTTTGTCACCATCAATTATTGATAGACACATCATAAAAAGGAACATCAGGTCAAGTAAATACATCATATCAATGGCATGAAATTCCCTTTTTTAATTCTTTTTATAAGATTGATTTATTGATTTGAATTCGAGATTTCCAGATTCAACAACATATATATTACTATTAGATCAAATCATTGTTCATAAAATCCCCTTTTATTAACCACCAATGTAACGTCTCGCTTGTTTTTTTAATCGACTATTAACAACTTTCATCAACTATATCTCATTAACAAACGAATAAACGAATAGGAAAAAAAAAAAATACAAGCAAACGTATAACATTTTCCATTGTTTACAAACTACGGCGTAAAAAAACCTTGAATATCGAGATCGAGTTAAATCCCATACCAGACGAACGATCCATATTCCAAAAAAAAAACAAGCGCTACATGGGAGACAACTCATGTGCGGCGGAGATGTTCTTGAACATCTCGTAAATAATCCTATTCCGAAACTCCTCGCTGGTGCTCGAACTCTTCACCTGTCTGGCTTTCGGAACCCTTCTGTTGCCGAAAACCAAATTGGTGTTCAAGTAGCCCACGCTCCCGGCCAGCCTCACCATCATGTCCAGGTAGCCGTTCTTCAGCTTCGCCGCCAGCTTCAGCGGCGCCGACATCACGACTCTCAGCCTCAGCCGCAGCTTCGGCACCGCCTTGATCCTCCACCCCAGCCTGCGTGACGGCGACGACGACTGGCCGCCGCCGAGCCTGACGGTGCGGATGTTCTTGTTGCGGATCGAGCCGTCTTGTAGCTTCTGGTATCTCTTGCTTCTCCAGTATCTGTCCCCCGCGCCGCTGTAGAGTTTTGTGCCGAAGATTTCCATTTCTTGGTGAAGAGAGAGAAAGAGAAAGAGAGAGAGATGGAGTAAAAGGGAAAGGTTTTTGGATGCGGTTTGGAGGCCGAGTTGTTGGTGTAATGTGTATTTATGGGGGAAGGCATATGAATGAAGGCAAAGCACGCAGCAACGGAGAAAGTAATTATAATATAAATTATTAAATTAGACCGAATTTAGATTGTGTTGTTTAGCGTTTACAAGTCCGGGGTCAAGGTCAACAAGGGCAAGCGGTTCAACGTTCTCCATTATTATTATTATTAAATAAATACGAATATTTGATACCGTAGGATACCCCGTTTAATTTCTTGCGGTCCGGGGAGGAATTTTATATATTAATTGGATTTCATTTTAATGTGTTTTTAATATGTTATCTACTCAATTATTTGTTTTAGTTTCCCGCACTGAAAACTAGACTCGTCGTCAGCAAGTTAATAGCAAGACATACATGTTTGCTATTTGGTCCGGACTATTATATTGCATTATAAAAAATGAGACGTATTATATTGTACACCCGTACTCAAAACTTGAGAGGGCATCGGTCGATTTGGTCCAGAAGCGGTTCGAATTGAGCTAGAACCGGACTAAAACAAAGAAAAATGAAGATTAGAATCGGACCAAAAGCATATTTGGTTTATACGATTTGATTCGATCCGATCCAAATTCACTTTTGATCCATTTTATTCATATTTAAAATAATTCATAAGACCAAAGTGAATTAAAAATATTTAATTTGATCCAATTCGATCCAAATATTAATTCGATACGATACGATCAAGAGTGAATCGAAGAGTTGCCCACTATACTCAAAACACAGCTTCTGCCTGCTCTTATGTTATTGGCAAGGTTGTCAACCCGCGGGTCGACCCGCGGGTTGACCCACTTTGACCCTGACCCGGTGAGAAAAACGGGTCGCACGCACCCGCCGGGTCGACCGCCACAAGGTACCGGGTTGGAGGTCAAATTGTGTCATTTTTTTCCTTTGTTTTGCGAAATGCGTCTATTTTCCGATTTTTCTTTTCGCCTAACTCAATCTTTGGAATCCTAAGTTGAACATTTGAATATTAATGTTATATAAGTGTGTGTGAATTTTCACTATATGTTGAATCTAAGTACGAAATGTTATTTTGGTGTAATATTATATGTTATAACTCATATGTTAGATGAGATTTGATATAATTTATCAGAATAAGTACAATATAATGACGCTTTTCATATTTCCGGGCTAAACCGGTCTAAAACGGGTGACTCATTAACCCTTAACCCACTAGCTCAACCGGGTCCGGGTCAACCCGTCACAACCTTAGTTATTGGTGATCAGCGGGACAGACGCCATTATTTGAGTGTCGGCCAAGTATAATAAATTAGTCTCTGTTGGTCAAAGAAGATGCACGTACCCTTCATCCAGAAAGGTTGACGTCAAACAGAATCCATTATTAATTTGTTTAATCACTTTCCTCCCCCAAATAATATTAAGAGGATGAGCTATATAATTGCGAGTTTGCGACTATAGGCCCACGCCACCATTTGAACTTGAACGGCCATACTATGAACTACTGTAAGACAGGCCACGGGCGATATATTTTAGGGTAAATGTTATATTTGGTCACTGAAATTATTAAATTATGTCATGTTTAGTTATTAAAAAAAATTAATATTAATTTTGGTTACTCAAATTACTGAAACATGTCTTATTTAGTCACTTTCCCGTCAGTTTCCCTCCAACTCCGTTAAGAGTGACTAAATGTGGCATGTTTCAGTAATTCGAGTGATATTCATAAATAAATAAATAAATAAATAAATAATTCGAGTGATCGGAGTTGGACGGAGTCTAACGGGAGAATGACTAAATGTGATCTGTTTTAGTAATACAAGTGACCAAAATTGATATTAATTTTTTCTAATAACTAAACATAACACGATTTAGCAATCCCAGTGACCAAATGTGGCATTTACCCATATTCCCCTGAAAATTGTATCTAATCAGAAAACAGTTTTAAACTTTTTTCTGAATTTTCTGAATTTGAGCTGTGCTCAATGCAGAGTCATAATTTTCTGAATTTTCAAGTTTTAAACTGGTTCGAACCTGATCCAATTTTCCCCTCCATTTCACAACTGGAATCAGAACCAGACAACATTGAATTTTTTTTTTATTACTACTCGACCGAATTATACAATGCAATTTTCGGTTTGATCGAGAAATTGTGATCGAAATTCCACCTTTCTATCACAGTCTAAAGTTATTTTTCTTTGAATCAAGTTTCTTTGTCACGTTAGGTGACAATAACACCTAATTCACGCATTTTTTTCATTTATTCACGCCATATTTTCGTTATTCACGCCATATTGACATTATTCACGTAAGAGTGTTGCTTATTCACGCAACCAATATTGTTTAGTCACGCAACCTGGTGTCGATTCACGCATATTGTTATTTATTCACGCCATTGTCAAATTAAATTTTAGACGTTAAAATATATCAAAATGGATGTCATTGGGTAGATTATGATCAATGCGACATATTTTTACAGACTAATTGAGAATTCAAATTTAATTCCATAAAATATAGCCAATACAAATTATTAGGGGGAAAAAGTCTGAATTTTCATTTACGTGAATAACTTACACTCTTACGTGAATAAACATAGTATTACGTGAATACACACAAAATGACGTGAATGAGTAAAAAAATACGTGAATAAATTGACATTAGGTGTTTTGGCACCTAACGTGACAAGAGATGTTTTCCTTAAGGGAAGGTTTATCACATGATACTTTTTGTCACCTACTTCGCAGTACTTTTTGACTGGCCGGTGCGAATAAGCAACTTCCATTAATTGTCATCATCAAACGAATAAGCCAAGAAACCCGAAAGAGTGATGATCCATCTCGATATACAATCTAGCTAGCTAGCAACAACCTACATGGGATTCAATTCATGCGCTGCTGAAATGTTCTTGAGCATCTCGTAAACGATCCTTCTCTGGAACTGATCGTCGGTTGCAGACATCCGGACCTGCCTAGCCTTGGGAATCCTCTTGTTCCCAAACACCATCTGGGTATTCAAATACCCCACGCTGCCGGCCAGCCTCACCATCATGTCCATGTAGCCGTTCTTCAGCCTCGCCGCCAGCTTCACCGGCGCCGCCGCCACGACTCTCAGCCGCAGCTTCGGCACCACCTTGATCTTCCACACCAACTTATAGCCTCCACCTTTGTTGTTATCGCCGAGCCTGGCTATGCGGACGTTCTTGTTACGGGTCGCGCCGTCTTGTAGCTTTTGATATCGTTTGCTTCTCCAGTATCTGTCCCTCGTGCTGTGGATTTTGGTGCCGAAGATTTCCATTTCTTGGAAGGTCTAGAGCGGCAGAAGGAGAGATTTTGAAAGAAGGGTGCAAAATGTGGAGTGCGAGATTGTGAGTGTAGTAAGGTGTACTTATGTATGTTAGCTAATTAAGGTTGTGAAAGCAGCAGGAAGAGCGCAGCATAGTGTGGAGGAATTGATGGAGAAGAGGTGTGGGCTTCAAGTAATATAATAATATGTGTATTGAAGAGTCAACATATGCAGCCGCGGTTCAGACTTCAGAAACTACAGAGACTGTATGGCGGCATATAGCGCGTGGGAAGTTTTTGGTATCGCTGTTTGGGATATACCGAATACCGTATTGAATTTTATTGGTATTTTTGTTATCATCGAAATGCACGTATTAGTTTAGGAGGTTGGGATTGAATCTCATGTGTTATTTGATATTACAGATTACGAGATTGAGATCGGTATCTACCGAACCGATCAATACAAAAAAAAATATAAGCTAGTGTGTATTATATATCCCTTCTAATTATAGGCTCGCTCACTCGCTGCTACCAGAACCAAGATGGCCACTTGATTATACGAGTTGCTTGATCATCACTACTGTTTGACAACCCGATATCAAGCTCATTTTGTTACTCGTGGTATATTGTTTATGAGTTGCTTAGTCGTCTCCTGTTTTAGTTTGTTAATGTGTTTCTTAGGCACCACGTTTTTTTTTAAAGTTTGTTGTTATTATACTTGAGATTTTTTTTTCTCGTTTGTTTTGCACAAATGTCGGCACCATAAGAATGGTCATGTGGAGCGCCTAGTATAGAGGAGAAGTATTTGCGTTTGTGTATTTGATTTATAATTTCGAGGAGAATTAATTTAGTACTTGTGTATATACGGACATCGAACACAATATAGAAAATGAGATCAAATTTATTTTGAGATTGAAAAGACGTTGAGTATGCTATTTGATATTCGAGAATTTAATATTAAATACTAAATACCATTACCGTTCCTAATTGCATGCGACCTTTTTCCCTTTAAAAAATGTTTTCGGTTCAATTTGGTCATCCCGCAGAAGTTTTGGATGCGTGGCCTGGATTTATTATGTCAAACCGGAGAATTGAAGCGCAATTTCATCGCCATGCACATGTTTAACACAAAATCTCTAATATATTATATTGTTTGTTCAGCTGTTCACACGACATTGCACGCTGCATGTTCCACGAGCATTTTAGTTTACTTTATGCGATTGGGGGCAAATTAAGAAGATGCTGCCAGCTGCCACCTTACCCCTTTCATCTAGAAGCTCCATTTCTTTCATTCATTATGTACAAGTACTTCCTATAAAATAAAAAAATATGTACTAAGTACAAGTTACAACCCACATACGCCGTATCATTTCACGGCAACTATTAGTAGGATGGAAAAAGTATCCGCAACCGTGAATATCCGTCCGAATCGACTTAATTGAGTAGGGTAGACCCGAATTCGGAGAATTTTTAGTGGTTACGGGTAAAACCCGAACCCGAATATTGTGGATAATGAGTGGACATGATTTTTTCACTATCCGATCCGAACACGCCCGATTATACACATTCGTGTCTATTTTGTCTAGAAATGATCATTATTTTTCTCAACATATTCTATATTTAACATACAAGTATAATATTTTAATTAATTTTCTTCATTCCAGTGATTTATTGTCGTATTTTTTCTCTTATGCAATGTGAGTATTCTTGTGAATGTTAACATGTTGGTTGAAGTTATAACGAGAAATTACTATCCATAGATAACCGTGGATACCCGAAACCCGAACAGGTATGGGTATGTGCATGATTTTGATTTTCTACCCGATTTTTATGTGGATATGGGTAAAACCCAAACTATTTTAGGTAGAATAACGAATATGCACTATCCATCCCCAACCCGACCCGTTACCATCTCTAACTATTAGTTTAATCAGTTTTCTCAAGCCCAACTTCAGCCATGGGCTATATAATTGGGAACGTAGCCCATGGGGCCTCTGGAGTGATTTAACAGTGTGACTATAGTCCATTAACCACTGTAAGTCTGTAATTGGGCAAGTGACAGAAATCCATCCAAATTTGTCGAAGAAAACCTCAAATGTAACAACATTTTTGGTAGCCGCATTCTTTCAGCATCTTTCTGGCTTCTCCTCTCATATCCATCGATGGAAACTGGAGAACCATAGCCACTTGAGTACATTATTAATGTTATTTCGGACACTTCCAATGCAGTAAGATTACAGGTATTCAAAGTTTGAAAGAAGAAGAAAAAAACAACATATTATGACAATTTTCAGCTATTTGGCAAATGGAATGGAAAAAAGTAAACGTGATTAACTGCTGAGACAAACTGCTCTCGAACCAGAACGCACGAAGTCCCCCGGACTTCTTGCCTCTTGGGCCCAAAGTTGGGCCGGGCCTCCTTTAATGAGCTTCTTGCCGCTTCAACATACTGGACAAATTCGGAATGGACGATTTCCTCTTTTTCATAGGCACCGAGACGGATCGAGTCGCCCCCCGACTCGGTGTAAACTCAGCCGTCCGAAGCTTCAAACGCCTCGACGGGGTCAGGCTCCCGCTGCTGCTCGCTCTCGCCGCTCTCCTCGGAGTTTCGCTCATCGATTTCTTCCTGCCGGCGGCGTTTCCATTGCTCTGCCGGTGATACTGATTCCGATTCTTTGCCTCTTCCTCCGCCGGAATCGCCCTCTCAGCCCTCAACTCCTCCCTCTCTTCCTCCACCCTCGTCTCCCTCAGCTCCCGGTGCGCCATCTCCACTTTCATCAGTATCTCCTTCTCGCTCGCCTTCAACGCTTCGATCCACGCCTGCGCCGCCGCCACCTTCTTGTCCGCGATATCCTCCGCCTTCGCCGCTCGCCCCGTCAGGTACTCGTACTCGAACCTCGATAGATTGATCGTCGAGGAGCCTTCCAGAGAGGCCAAAGCTCTGGCTCTCACGGCGTTCTCAATCAGATCCTGCAGATTCTTCAAAGCTACAGCCTCCGACGCCTTGATCGTCTCCAATTCCTCCATCGCCACCTCCAATTTCCCCTCGGTTAGGTCAATGTCCGCCTCGGTCTTCCGAATCTCCGCCTTGATGCTCGCCGCCTCGTCGCCGATAAGCTCCTTCTCCTTCTTCGCCACCTCCGCTTCCGTCTTCAATTGCTCCAGTGTGAGGTTCAGATTCGCCACGATCGATTTCGCCTTCTCCTCGGAGGAAATTGCAGCTTCCAGCTTCGATTTCCCCCGCAGAAGCTTCGAATTCAGGTTCAGCACCGTCGCATCTGCCTTTTCCTCTTGTTTCTGCAGCCTGGCTGCCTCGTCCCTCACGTGGTTGAGCTCGTTCCTGATTATGTCCATGGAGGCCATGAACTGAAACCCTTCCTCCTTCACCGTAGCCAATTCCTTCTTCGCAGCCTCCAATTCGTCGGTAATCGACTTCAACAATGACGAACTGTCGCCGTTTCCTTCTTCGACTCCTCTCCTCGAGAAGCTGATTGAACTCCTCAGTCCGTCGCTTCCCTGCTGCATCTGCTTCTTCTTCTGCTTCGTCTTCTCCTCCAGCTCTTTCGCCAGCTTCAGCTCGGTCTGCAGAACGCTGGCATCGTACAGGGTGACAGCCAATTTCGACTCCAGCTCTCTGGAGCTATCGATCTCTCCATTTACCTCGTCGATTTTCTTCCTCTTCTCCTCAACCGCGGAGGAGAATTCGGCAGACTCCTTCTCCCTTCCCGCTTCGATCTCTTCCTTCTCCTTCAACGCCTCGATGGTCGCCAGCTCGACGAGGACTTGCTCTTCGTTCGCCTCGTCGATCTCCTTCCTCAGCACCTCCGCCTCCGCCTGCTGCTTCGATTGTGAGCTCGCGGCTACATTTTCGGCCTGTGCTTTCTCTTGCAGGACCGACGCCATGCCCAGCTTCAACTTGCTGAGCTCCTGTTTGACGAACTCCAGCTCCTTCATTACCTCCAGGTAGCGGTCGGATTTCCGTCCGCTGCTCTCGGCTTCGCCTTCGACCGGGGAGCTGTGTGCCGGCGGTGGCTTCGGCGCTTCCTCCATGCCCTTGTTTCTGGAAATGACTTTGGCGTTGGATTCCTCAATCTGGGAAGCGAGATCTTTCACGGCTCTTTTCGCCTGGGAGAGCTCGTTATCTGCTTGGGTTTTGACGGATTCGGCCGTCCTTCTCCGCTCTCTGTACCTGGCTATGTCCCTCTTTGCCATGTGGAGCTCCGTGGTCCTTGACGGCGACTGGGGAATAAACTCAAAAGAGCAGGCCAAACAATTAGTAAGCAGCAAGGAATTGTTCAGATTTGCTGCAATTGGAAGGTTTCTGTCTCAAAACTCTTTACCTCAGTATAATTCCCCAACTGTGATTTCTTAGTGGTTGTTCCGTCGGAGAGTCTCTCCCCGAACATATTGATAGCGGCTTTCACCGTCCCCATTCTTTTCTGATCATCCGAAGCTCTTGCGGCCATCATTTCACCTACCAGCAGTCAGAAAACAGTGAGAGTTTTCAGCCGAAAGAAATTGCTGAGAAAACTACTACTCCGGGGGTGAAAAGTGAGTGAGGCAGATTTACCAGATTGATGTCGTCGAGCGGGAGCTGCTGAGTTTCTGGCGGAAGACGGAAGGGAATAGGACCTGGGATGGAGATGCGGGGAATCTCGAGGCGCTTCTGCGGACATTGGAATAGTGGAGAAGGAGGAGAAGAAGAGGTGGCGAGGGCGGGTGCCTTGAGGCCTGAGGGAAACGACTGGCTCATATTCATATTGGACCAATCGCTCTGCCACCTAGTTATTGCCTGATAGGAACTGGTTTCTTTGTTTCTTTACTCTCTCCATCCATCCGTCCCTCCATCCTCTATCTCTCTTGTTTTTATTGGCTCAGTTTTCTTGGATTTTTCATCTCTGTGTTTTCATTTTTTGGATTATTAGGCTTTTTATTGGAACTTGTATAAATGTGATCTCACATCTTATTTCTTTTGCCAGAAAGACGGACACCAAAACGCATCAATCATGTTATTTATGATTCATGGCAAATTGGCAATGGCTATGGAATGTAGGAAGAATGTGTGCCAAATGGAAACAAATGGTGCTCATAATAAGCCAAGAAATTGGCCACGAATTATGATTAGCATCTTTTATAGTTCCTAATGATGGCACTTGCACCAGAGAAATCCACGTTCACTTCCACCTTCCTAAATCCCTTTTGTCACGCTCTTTTCAGGCCTTCAGCTGAATTCTTGAAAGCTCTCGTGATTGAGTATTCGTTGATGTCGTGGTTGTAGTTGACGTCGAGTTTTTCTGTTATGCCGGGCACCGGAGTCGGTCGAAGGCCGCCTTACACCTCGAACTACTCTCGTGATGTCAGCTCCGGTTGGCTCTTGCAAAAAGGATATGTCGGCCGATCTCGACATGAATACTCTTTGACGCTGAAGTTAGTGAGTGGGTTGAGGGGAGATGAATATGACCTCGAAAAGAAATATGAGGGAATGGAGTTGGGAATGAATATATGCGCTAATCATAGCAAGAGTTCACGAGTCTATACATGAGAATTTTTGCTTACCTCAATCTGGAAACGAATTGGCCTTTTATAGAGGCCTCCATGCAAACAAAATGGGGGTACGTGTCTCCCTCTAGAGCTTGGTGGTATGGAGAGAGGACACGTCACACGAGTACGTTGATAGAAACCTACTTTCCACGGGTTTCTATTATAATTACCATATTCATATTAGAGATAATTATTAGAATAAATAATTACTTGGTGGTTAAGTTTAGGATTATTGTTAGGCTTTTATTATATATATATGGTTAGTAGTCTTTGAGTCATATTAGGATAGTCTATTAGGTTTTTTTGTCTTTTGCTATAAATATGTAATTGGTCATTCATTCATAATCAGTCTAGAAGAATATTAAGAAAACCCTCCTAAACCCTAATCTCCCTATCCTCTCAATTCTCGTTCTCAAACCCTCTAAAGGCTTTGGCCGATTCTCTATCTTTCTCTTCTCAAATCCCTAATTTGTTCTTGAATTCCTAATTCTCAATCTCACGACCAAACCCGATAGAACCCTAATACCAAGTTCTATCATACCTGGCCAAGGGTGTTGAGTGACCTAAGGTGGGCCGAGTGAGTCCAAGGTGGACGAGGTGACCCAAGGTGGTTAACCCTAGGGGTGGCTGGAGTGACCCCAGGGTAGCCTAGGTTACTCGGGATGAATGACCACTAGTGTGGCCAAGATGACCCAGGGTGACTAATCCTGGGAGAGGCCAAAGTGACCCCAAGATGAACGAGATGACTTGAGGTGATTGACCCCGGGGTGGCCGAAGTGACCCAAGGTAATTGACTGTGGGGTGGCCGGAGTGACCCAGGGGTGGCCATAATAACTCGAGGTGACCCAAGGTGATTGATCCTGCGGTGGCCGAGGTGACCGGGGTGATTGACCCTGGGGGTGGTTGGAGTGACCCCATGGTGGTCGAGGTGACTTGGGTGATTGACCTCGCGGTGGCTGGAATGACCCTAGGGTGACCTTGGGGGCTGGTGTGACCCGGGGGCTGGGATGACCTAGGGTGGCCGGAGTGACCCCAAAGTGACTTGGGGTGATTGACCACCGGAGGCCAGAGTGACACCAAAGTTGGCCGAGGTGATTGACCACGGGGTGTTCGAGGTGACCCAAAGTGATTTACCTTGGGATGGTCTGAGTGACCTTATGGGTGACCAAGGTGACCCGGGTGATTAACACAAGGTGACCCGGAATGATTGTCCACGGGGGGTCGATGTGACACGAGGTGATTCACCCCGGGGTGGCTGGAGTGACCCCAAGGTGACCCAAGATGATTGACCCCGGGGGCCGACGTGACCTCAAGTTGGTCGAGGTAACCCAGTTGATTGACCCCGGGGGTGGCTGGAGTGACCCCATAGTGGCTGAAGTGACTCGAGTTGATTTACCCCAGGGTGGCCGGAGTGACTCTGAGGTTACCCAAGATGATTGACCCTGGGTGGTCGAGGTGACCCGAAGTGGTTACTGCATAATGATTTACCCTGGGGTGGACAGAATGACCTTGGTGGTGGTCGAGGTTACCCGAATGATTGACCATGGGGGGTGGCCGGAGTGACCACATGGTGGCCGAGGTGACCCAGGTGATTGACCTGGCCGGAATGACCTCAAGGCGACCATGGATAATTGTCCCCGTGGGACCGAGGTGACCTGAAGTGATTCACCACGGGGTGGCGGGAATGACCCTAAGATGACTTGGGGTGATTGACCCCAGGGGCCGAGGTGACTCAAGTGTTTGACCTCGAGTCAGGCGAGGTGACCCGGGAGTTTGATACCCATTTCGAAATCTGCCAAAAATGGCATTTCGAAAAAATCGAGCGAAATTTGTGATGGTACCCCTTTGGAATATGCCAAGAAAGGACCCGAAAGGAATCCTTGCAAATCGATTTTTAATGGATTTAATCATCAATGAAAAATAGCCTCAGACTAATCACCTTCAAAATTCAAGAAAAATGGGCTTTAGAAAAAAATGGCCAAAATTTTACGAAAATGTCATCCAAAAATAAATCCTCCCAAAGCGGTGCTTAATATACTTAATAATCAGTGGAGAATAGGATCAATAGACTTCATTATCGGCTAAGAATAGCCTAGGACCGAATTTGTGATATTTAGCATTCAAAATCGGGAAACATGGTATTTCGGAAAAATTACATGAAATCGTTGATGGTACCCGTTTGGAATCTACCAAAAATGGATCCGGAAAAAATATAGTGCTTAATGGACTTAGTCTTTGGTGAAGAATAGCTTCATGCCGAATTTTAGTTTTTACCCTTCAAAATCTAGGAAAAATGGTTATTTGAAAAAAATTACAAAAAATTTATGAAAGTCATCCGAATATAAATTCGCCCATATCAGTGCTTAATGGACTTTATCATTAGTGGAGATAAAGATTAAGAGAGTTAATCATTTGTAGAGAATAGTCTCAGGGCGAATGCGTGATTTGTAACCTTCAAAATTTAAAGTAAATAGCATTTCGGAAAAATCGCCTGAAATTTGTTATGGTACCCCTTTTGAATCTACCAAAAATGGATCAGGAAGAAATCCAACCAAATTGGTGCTTAATGGACATAATCTTCGGTGAAGAATAGCCTCAGGCCGAAGATAATTTTCTAACCTTCAAAATCTGATGAAAATGGCCTTAGGAAAAAAATTGCAAAAACTTTACGAAAATGCTATCTGAAAATAAATTCGCCCAAATTGGTGGTTAATAGACTTAATTATCGGTGAGAATAGGATAAATAGACTTCGTTATCGACTGAGAATGCCTTCAGCCGATCCGTAATCTATAGCTTTCAAAATTGAAAGAAATTGGCATTTCGAAAAAATCGTCTGAAATCCGTGATGGTACCTCATTTGGAATCTGCCAAAAATTGACCCGGAAAGAACCCGCCCAAATAAGTGCTAAATGGACTTAATCATCGGTGAATAATAGCATCAGGCCGAATTCGTGATGTATAGCCTTCAAATTCCAAGGATAACGGCCTTTCTAAAAAATTTGCATGAAATTTTACAAAAATGATATTTGATGACAATTCCGCCCAAATCGTTGCTTAATGAAATTGATCATCGGTGGAGAATAGGATCAATACTTCATCATCTTTGGAGAATAGCTGTTGGCCGAATCCGTTATATGTAATCTTCAAAGTCGAAAGAAAATGACATTTCGGGGAAATTGTCTGAAATATGTGATGATACCCCTTTGGAATCTCCCATAAATGGATTCGGAAGAAATCCGCCCAAATTGGTGCTTAATGGACTTAATCTTCAGTGAAGAATAGCTTCAGGCCGAATATGAGTTTTTATCCTTTAAAATCCGAGGAAAATGGTCATTCGAAAAATTTGCACAAAAATTTACGAAAAAAGCCATTCGAATATAAATCCACCCAAATCGGTGCTTATTGGAGTTAATCATCAATGATGAATAGGATCAATAGACTTTATCAGCGTTGTAGAATAGCCTCGGGCCGAATCTGTGATTTGTAACTTTCAAAATCGAAAGAAAATAGCATTTCGTAAAAATTGCCCAAAATCTGTGATGACACCCCTTTAGAATCTGCCAAACTGGACCTGAAAGAAATCTGCCCAAATCGGTGCTTAATGCACTTAATCCTCCACAAATAATAGTCTCGGGCAGAATCTATGATCTACATCCTTCAAAATCCAACGAAAATGATCTTTCAAAAAAATCGTTGAAAAAATTACGGAAATGTCAACTGAAAATAAATCTGTCCAAATAGGTGCTTAATGCACTTAATCATCCGTGGAGAATAGGATCATTAGACTTCATCGTAGGTGGAGAATAGTCTCGGGCTGAATCCGTGATTTGTAACCTTTCAAATCGAAAGAAAATGGCATTTGGAAAAAAATGCCCGAAATCTGTGATGGTACCCTTTGGAATATGCGTAAAATGGACCCGGAAGAAATCCGGTCAAATTGGTGCTTGGATACGACCTGAGGCTATTCTTCAACGATAATTAAGTCCATTAATCATCGATTTCGGCGGATTTATTTCGGGTCAATTTTTGGCAGATTCCAAAGGGTACAATCACAGGTTTCAGGTGATTTTTTCGAAATGTCATTTTCTTTCGATTCAGGAGGCTACAAATCACGAAATCATGCCGAGGTTATTCTCCACCGACAATGAAGTTTATTAATCCTATTTTCCACGGAAGATAAGTCCATTAAGAATCGATTTGGGCCAATTTATTTTCGGATGGCATTTACGTAATTTATGGGGCGACAAAAGCCCATTTTCTTTGGATTTTGAAGGCTACGGGTCACGGATTCGGCCTGGGGATATTCTTCAACGATGATTAAGTACATTAAGCACCGATTTGAGCGGATTTATTACGGGTCTATTTTTGCAGATTCCAAAGGGGTACCATCACAGATTTCGGGCGATTTTTCCAAAATGGCATTTTCTTTCGATTCTGGAAGCTACAGATAACGGAATAAGGCTGAGTTATTCTCAACCGATAATGAAGTCTATTGAGCCTATTCTCCACGGATGATAAGTCCATTAAACACCGATTTGGGCCAATTTATTTTCGGATGATATTTTCGTAATTTATGGGGCGACGAAAAACCATTTTCTTTGGATTTTGAAGGCTACGGGTCACGGATTCGGTCTGAGGCTATTCTTCAACGATGATTAAGTCCATTAAGCACCGATTTGGGCGGATTTATACCGGGTCAATTTTTGGCAGATTCCAAAGGGGTGTCATCACTCATTTCAGACGATTTTTCGAAATTTCATTTTCTTTCAATTCTCGAGGCTACAGAACACGGAATCAGGCCAAGGCTATTCTCCACTGATAATGAAGTCTATTGATCGTATTCTGCACTGATGATAAGTCCATTAAGCACCAATTTGGCCAATTTATTATCGGATGACATTTTCGTAATTTATGGGGCGACAAAAGGCCATTTTCTTTGGATTTTTAAGGTTACTGGTCACGGATCGGCCTGAGCCTATTCTTCAACGATGATTAAGTCCACTAAGCACCAATTTGGGCGGATTTATTCCGGGTCAATTTTTGGCAGATTTCAAAGGGGTACCATCACAGATTTCAGGCGATTTTCCCAAAATGTCGTTTTCTTTCGATTCTGGAGGCTACAGATCACGGAATCCGGTCGAGGCTATTCTCCACCGATAATGAAGTCTATTGATCTTATTCTGCACTGATGACAAGTCCATCAAGCACCTATTTGGGCCAATTT